GAGTAAGAGTGACTTATCAAATTCAAAAACAAAAACATGAGATCTTCTATTCATAAAGCAAAAACATGAGATCTTCTATTCATAATACAAAAGTTACATGTCTAAAAGAAAACATCACACAATTTTTTTTTTAAAGCACATCAGATGGATCAGCAAGATCAACAGTTGAATCATCAATAAGAACAGTAGAAGAAACAACGACAGGGGTGTTGGGCGCAGGAACCTCGATCAGGGGAAGATTCCTACCTAAAGAAGAAAGGACGGTTACATCATTCATAGAGAAAAGCTCGAAATCAGTGGGAACTTTGGCTTCCACCAAGGTTGTATTCCACTATTTCTTAAAATAAAAACCTTCAATCACTGGGATTTTCTCCGCCATAACACTCTCCGCCTTCTCAAAACCTTAATCATAAGCCTTGTCCTCAGCATCTTTGAATGAAGATCGAATGGTTCCCAAATTTGCTTATAGGGAAGAACTAAGCCCCTTCACCAAGTCAGCTACATCAAGAGCCACCTTCTCTGATTGCTCAGCTATCTTTAACTTTTGGCCAAACTCTTCGTTATGACCAAATAATTTCTCAATCTCTGCCTGGAGTCGAGCAAAATCGTCAAGAGCTTTCATGGAATTTACCTATGACGCCCATACATCTCCACAACCAGAGACTTCGAGGCTAAGGCCTCTTTGCTCGTATTCATAGCTCAAGACCCGAGATTAAATACTTGTTGCATGCCTAAAGAAGACATGAGGAGGAATGGGTTAAATACTAAAAAATCCAAGAAAGGAAAAAGAATACCAAAGTCCTTCCCCCCGCAACATCAACATCATCAGCGACAGAGTCCTTTGAATGAATGTCTCTGTCATGAGCCCGCATCCAAGGCTGCCAGACCAAAGCCCCTCCAACATCATCAGCGAACGGCTCGACAATGACTTTCCTTTTCTTCTCAACAGATTGCCTCCTTACCAAATCGGTAATCGAAGCAGAATCCTCTGCCAGGTCACTATCATCCTCGAGTTTAGATGATAGAGCCCGATGCTCGAAAACAGTAGTAATATGACTTTTGTTTGGAAATGGCGGAGGAAGATGCTCAATTGGCCGAATGGGTTCGGTTCAGACTGTAGATGGTCGAACCACCGCTGATGTATCTAACTTTGGTGTCCCTTTAGAAGTCGGGCCTAGGGCCAGATCAATGAAATTCTTTATAACTCAGTTCCTCCCTATACTACTCTCAACAAATTACCTCCTTACCAACTTAGTAATTGAAGCAGAATCCTCTGCCAAGTCACTATCATCCTCGAGTTTAGGCAATAGAGCCTGATGCTCGAAAACAGTAGTGACATGACTTTTGTTTGGAAATGGCGAATGAAGATGCTCAATTGGCAGAGTGGGTTCGGTTCAGACTGCAGATGGTCGAACCACAGCTGACATATCTAACTTTGGTGTCCCTTCAGAAGTCGGGCCTAGGACCAGATCAATGAAATTCTTCATAACTCAATTTCTCCCTATACTTCTCTTCTTAGAACTCTTCAGTACAGAAGATGAGGATGCCTCATTTGCCCGAGCAACTCTTTGAACCACCAATTGCTTAGAAGTGAGGGAAGGAACCGCTATAAAGGACTTGTAGGTTGGCTCATATCCTAGCAACACAAGTGCAGCTTGACACAAAACATTTGTGGCCCCAGATGACCAAACTTTTTGCAAATCCGAAAGATTGACCCTTGAATTAGGCACCTTGCCCTTCACAGAATCACCTGTAAAAAATACATAAGCCTTTTAAAAAAAATTATAATAAAACACATTGATGAAAGAAAGGGCACCAATGAAAATCACCTAGTGCACCCTCTTCAAACGGACAATTGTAGTGGGGCTTTTCGCCATCTCTATGTTCCCAATTTTCGAGAACAAACAAGACATCTTTTTCTTGACTCCTGTTCGAATCAAGGAGGTGGATGACGAGATAACGATTGATTTTCTTGACCAATAGTTCTTATCAGAAATGGGGGCAATTGTATAACAATCGAGGATTTTCCAGAAACCCAGGTTGATACCAAGGAGGTTGTTTAAGGCAACAACATGCATGACTATTCTGAAGAAGTTTGGACAACACTGAATGGGGCAAAACTTTAAAGAGTGTAGGGCCCAAAGAAGCAGAGGGTAGAGGGGGAACCTAATTCCTCCCTCTGTGATGGCTCTCGTAGGAATAGGAACAAATTCCTAGGACCCCAACAAGGGTTCATCCTCACCCGCCACTCTAACAAACACGTCATCCGGGATTGCATATTTGGATCAAAAATTGGGTATCTAATCTTTCTCTAGAGGGGTCATTAGAGAAAATAAACAAGAGGAGGAAAGTGAGAAAACACTTATAAAGAAAAAAGGGAAAGAAACACCAAATGACCTGAAAGTATGCACAAATGAAGGAAGTAAGGAAGACGAAAAGACAACTATAGTAAATGATGGCCACAATGGTCACACCCAGACGAAAAGACGACTATAATAAATGATGTAACACACTCGTATGAAAAGAAGAGAGGTGCAGGTCGTATTTTCGTAGGAAACCATGCTGCTCATTTAATGCAATATGATTAAAGAATAAAAAAAATGTCGAATGATATTTGACACGTGGCAAACATCCCCTGAGGGGCAAATAAAGGAGGATAAAATGACTACACACATAAAGGCCGCATAACTAAGCAATCACCATTACTCTATCAACTAAATAGAGTAATGTTCACTCGAGTGAATAAGGGGAAAACGTGGGAAAGAGCCAACAGATTTATAGGGATATATTACAAACATGAATGGAAAAACTGGAGGAGATGAAAGTCAAAAGTGAGGAAAATTGTGACTGTTATGATAGATATTATGATAGATGTGCCATCTAATCTGGTAAAAGGAAAGGATGAGACACAGGCATTATAAATATCGGGCAAATGCTTAGATCGAAGGTACACACTTCTTTTATGTTATTGAACATACTTACTGCAAGAACTTTTATTAAATTAAGCATTGGGGTACCTCTGACCAGCCCAACCCTGGTCTCTATCAATTTGCTCGTTTTGCAGGAAAAAGAGAGTGGCCCATGTTCGTATTTCTCAGTCAAATTCTAACGACTTAAGGTAAGAGATTTTTTCCTCTTACATATTTATAAGATGAGAAATATAAATATATTATTTGATCGACCTCAAAACGACTCTGCATGATTAAACTAGTTAATGAGCCCACGTGTCCTGAAACACGTGGCAAAAAGCCACCTATGAATGGCACGTGACTAAGGAAGAGTGCCTCTGCAGGTGTTTGGTTTGTCGACCCTTGCAAATGCCATAGAAAGCTGAATTAATAGAGGAAGTGTTCGATTAAGTAAACCGAGCAGTAGACAAGACTGAGCAAACACAGTGACTTTAGTTCTATTCTGAGTTTGTTTATTAGGATAGAGGAAACTAGTCTATCTCGGGAAATCAGAGGCGGTGCGATATTGATAAGGATGTTGTTTAAATCATAGGTGAATAATATAAATATGACCTAAATAATATACAAATGAGAAAGGAAACCTAAGGAAGTTCCACCATAAATCAATGGGATTTGGCTGCGAAACGGGTTTACCACCTTGAACAGTGTGAAAACCCTAGTAGAAAGGGCGCCATAAAAAACTATAAGTATCATGTAATGCTCAAGCCTAAGGTATGCTCTCTCTCCCTCTTGGAATTAGTTCGCTTAACATCAAAATTTTTACTGACTTAAGTATCATAGTACCTTCAACTGACCGACCTCCAGTCTCTAGTTGTGTGTTTGCTTTGTAGGAAGGAGGAGTTTTGCTTTGTTCGTTTTCCCCCAAAAAACTACTAGATCCCTTAATCACCATCACTCTCAAAGGTACGCAATTTTTTCCTCGTACACTACTCATGGCCATCAACATTTTTTTTGGGACTACGAGAATTCTGATGGAATTATATGGATTTCTTTATATCTAAAATATTGGTAAGAATGTATACTCTAGCATCACAACTATTGAAGAACAACCACGTGATTTTGTTGGGTAAAATGGAAGGTCAAGGAGTATACATGTTACTCATGAGGAAGGCTAAGATATCGAAGGAAGTATCACACCGAGAGTTATACATTCCAAAGGTTAAAGTCATAATTTTTTGGACTATTAGTTAAAACTACAAAAAACATGATCGATTACAGAATGTTATGATTGATCATGAAAGTTATAACTTTTAAAAGTAAAGTCACACATTTTACGGGTGAAGTTACGGCTAGTCATGATCAATCACAACCTTTCTTTATCAATGATAAATAACCTTAATCACCACCGAGACGTTGGTCCAATGATGAGAATTCGGATTTTCTTGCTCAATATTTGAGTTTGAGTCCTCATAATTATGGCAGTTCGGTGGAACTAAACATACTCTTCAGCGTCTAGAGTACGTTGTGGGGTCTTGGATTTGGCACTGGCAATGGTGTGATGGAGTTTTTCGCAAATAGCTACGAGGTGTTGATGGACAATGCTCCCTATGTAAAATAATCTATTTGCATATTTATTTTACATACCCAAAAAAAATACCCTCTTATCAATTGTAAATTATTCACTAATTAATAAATAATTTGGACAAGTGAGCCCTCACAAAATTTAATAATTACTCATCCATATAATATATAATCACGTTCATATAAAGAAATGGCTTTCAATTTTTCTACTTTCTAATTTTTTTTATTGAACGGTTACATCACATGGTACCGTTGTTGTAGTATAACCATTACATTGAATATTTACTCAAAATTTTAGAATAAATATTCAATGTAACGGTATTTCGAGTAAATATTCAATATAACAGTTACACCATGTCAATAGTACCACATAATGTAACAGACTAATAAGAAAGTTAGAAAATAGAGAAAGTGAACCTTTTTTTTCACATGATGATGGTTATTAAATTTTGTAGGACTCAGTTGTCCACTTGTTCGTAGATAATTACATAAAATGACACTATTAATATGGTGTAACTATTATCATCAATATTTTCCAAGATTCCCCTTTCTCGCGCACGCACACCCACACCCATAGTGACTTAATTTAGCATTTTTTTTTTTTTTGGGGGTACTTTGGATCACGCACACAGTAAGCATACTGGTCCTCTGTTCATGGAATTCATTTTGTTGGAGTTATAGGTACGCTTGTAAGTTTTGTCGGATGACTCGGATTCGTATTGCATTTTAGTTGATTTGTGTTAAAAGAACATTTTATTCGTATTCGATTTATTTATGAATTCGTATTTAACAGATCATATTATATCAGATTTGTATATATATAACGAGTAATAAATTAGTTGTGTCGTATTAAATTCATTTGTTTGCGAAATGGGTTATTTAAGAAATATTCAATCCTTCTAATTTCGTATTGTGCATGTGATGTATTAAGGAGTTATATTATATTTTAACAACTCTAACTACAAGTGTTCAATTTCGAGAAAATGATGCGGTGGTAAGTGGATTTGTGGGGAATAAGCTCTAACTATAAAGGGTTCGCTGATAAAGAATCTGTGAGGGAATAGGCTCTGATGATAGAGGATTTGTGACCAAGTGCCTCCACTTTGCTCCAGGAATGCGTGTAAAGACAGCATAATAGAATTTGTCCCCTTTTTGTAATGTCGAAAACAAAAATCCAAATTCATTCTCCAAAGTAGGTAATCAAAGAGTTTAGATTTCCTTTTAAGTAACATATTTCGTAAACAAGTGTATTCGTTATTATTAATAAACAAAATGAGTTTAAGTGAACTCAATTATTTATATTTTGGTTATACACCACAAAAATTTAAGGATTAATTTTAAATTGTACCCACAAAGATGTTTGAAATATCAATTTATACCCTCAAAATTTAAAAATATTAATTTATACCCTGAAAGACATAAATTTATATCAATGTACACCGGGAGTTAATTGTCGTCCATTTTGCCATTAAAAAAGTTTGGGCTGATTGCAAATTTCACCTTCAAATTTAAATATTTTACATTTATGATCCAAAAAGAACTTCATCCATTAATACTCGGTAGATACATCTCAATTTTGTTGTATCGTATCATTTTCGTGTCACATCATTTTGTGTCATGTCGTATTATTTTTGTATCGTGTTCGAGTAATAAAAAATTATTTTTCACACAAAATATTTTCTTATTGAGTCAATTGTATTGTGTCGTATATTTTATATTTACAACAAATTCATATAATATTATTTTAAAAGAATTAAAATACTTATTTTTTGCCTATAATACTCATTAAATAGATATTTTATGTTTAAAGTTATAAATGACACGACCCAATTGAGAGTTATTTAACGAGTAATAGTAGAAGTAATTCTTTTTGGATCATAAATACGAAATATTTTAACTTTGAGGATCCAATTTACAATTAGTTCAAATTTTTTTAACCGCAAAATAGACGATGGATAGTTCTAGATGCACATTAATACAAATTTATATTTTTTAGGGTATAAATTAATATTTTTAAACTTTAAAAATATAAATTAAAATTCAAGTCAACTTTCAAAGTCTAAATTGAGATTAACCTAAATTTAATATACCACGATTTAGTAAACACAAGTCAATAAGCTTGCCGACACTCACCTCCAAGAGAGAGAGAGAGAGAAAGAGGGAGAGGACAAATTAAGAAGAGCTCCGAAGCTCTCTCTGCAATGGTGGTGAAGGGAGAGAAAGTTCTGANCTTACGGTTTTTCTTCTAAAATTAATCAAATGTATAATAATAATATATTTTTATTATTAATCAAATGTTATAGATCACTTTTCGAAAATAGTAAGTAATCATGCTTTTATTTTTGTGACANTAAGTTTTGTCGGATGACTCGGATTCGTATTGCATTTTAGTTGATTTGTGTTAAAAGAACATTTTATTCGTATTCGATTTATTTATGAATTCGTATTTAACAGATCATATTATATCAGATTTGTATATATATAACGAGTAATAAATTAGTTGTGTCGTATTAAATTCATTTGTTTGCGAAATGGGTTATTTAAGAAATATTCAATCCTTCTAATTTCGTATTGTGCATGTGATGTATTAAGGAGTTATATTATATTTTAACAACTCTAACTACAAGTGTTCAATTTCGAGAAAATGATGCGGTGGTAAGTGGATTTGTGGGGAATAAGCTCTAACTATAAAGGGTTCGCTGATAAAGAATCTGTGAGGGAATAGGCTCTGATGATAGAGGATTTGTGACCAAGTGCCTCCACTTTGCTCCAGGAATGCGTGTAAAGACAGCATAATAGAATTTGTCCCCTTTTTGTAATGTCGAAAACAAAAATCCAAATTCATTCTCCAAAGTAGGTAATCAAAGAGTTTAGATTTCCTTTTAAGTAACATATTTCGTAAACAAGTGTATTCGTTATTATTAATAAACAAAATGAGTTTAAGTGAACTCAATTATTTATATTTTGGTTATACACCACAAAAATTTAAGGATTAATTTTAAATTGTACCCACAAAGATGTTTGAAATATCAATTTATACCCTCAAAATTTAAAAATATTAATTTATACCCTGAAAGACATAAATTTATATCAATGTACACCGGGAGTTAATTGTCGTCCATTTTGCCATTAAAAAAGTTTGGGCTGATTGCAAATTTCACCTTCAAATTTAAATATTTTACATTTATGATCCAAAAAGAACTTCATCCATTAATACTCGGTAGATACATCTCAATTTTGTTGTATCGTATCATTTTCGTGTCACATCATTTTGTGTCATGTCGTATTATTTTTGTATCGTGTTCGAGTAATAAAAAATTATTTTTCACACAAAATATTTTCTTATTGAGTCAATTGTATTGTGTCGTATATTTTATATTTACAACAAATTCATATAATATTATTTTAAAAGAATTAAAATACTTATTTTTTGCCTATAATACTCATTAAATAGATATTTTATGTTTAAAGTTATAAATGACACGACCCAATTGAGAGTTATTTAACGAGTAATAGTAGAAGTAATTCTTTTTGGATCATAAATACGAAATATTTTAACTTTGAGGATCCAATTTACAATTAGTTCAAATTTTTTTAACCGCAAAATAGACGATGGATAGTTCTAGATGCACATTAATACAAATTTATATTTTTTAGGGTATAAATTAATATTTTTAAACTTTAAAAATATAAATTAAAATTCAAGTCAACTTTCAAAGTCTAAATTGAGATTAACCTAAATTTAATATACCACGATTTAGTAAACACAAGTCAATAAGCTTGCCGACACTCACCTCCAAGAGAGAGAGAGAGAGAAAGAGGGAGAGGACAAATTAAGAAGAGCTCCGAAGCTCTCTCTGCAATGGTGGTGAAGGGAGAGAAAGTTCTGACAAAGCTTACGGAGTCTTTTAAGGAACTTGCTAATTGCGTGAATTCTCCGAAGCCGCGTCTCGAGGTTGGGCAGTTCGTTTCCGCTTGCCGCGACATGGTCCCTTTCATAGTCTACTTAGGAATGGTTTTGAAGTTCGCCGCCATGGAATTTTCGGCCAAGGTGATCTTACTTTTCACTAACTATTTGATTTATATATATATATATATATATATATATATATATATATCTAGGGGTAAAGTGAAATCAAGTCCATAGTTTTAGGGTCAACTGTAATCCATTGTTGGGACTTACGGTTTTTCTTCTAAAATTAATCAAATGTATAATAATAATATATTTTTATTATTAATCAAATGTTATAGATCACTTTTCGAAAATAGTAAGTAATCATGCTTTTATTTTTGTGACAATTACACTGATATGAAATTTCTTAGCGAAGTTATTTTTTTGATAAAAATATATTTTAAAATATATATATAACATAAGAGATTGGAGTTAAGAAGGTCAAAGAAAGAAATGACGAGGATGCATATGTTGTTCGATATATCTATAGACTAATTTTTTTATGAGCTATATTGATGCACTAGTCAAAACCCGATAAAATATAAAGTTTGAGCGTCTAAAAAATTGATCCTACTATATTAAATTTTTTTTAAAATATATTAACTACAAAATAATCAGATATTAAATAATAAAATATATGATATAAATGAATGATGCGATATTTTTAGGAAAAAAATATATAAATAATTAAATATTCGAGTGATGCGATTTGACGTTTGAGTCTGGAATAAAATTCAAACACACTTTTATTTTATTATATAGATTATTCACTAATAATTTATACTACTATATATTAACCTAATAATGTAGGTAATGCTCATACTACCATTTTAGAGTTAGAATAAAACATTAATGGTATATTATTTGTGATTGTGACTCTTGAGCTACTATTCTATATTTTTATCTATATCAATATTACTTTTAAATGTCAATCAATATCTTGAAAATTTTTTGAATTATTTTTTGCATAACCGTCTCATAAAAGTTTATATATTCCCCTCATAACTTCTATGCTTCTTTCTCTAATATTTTATTTTTTCTTTCTATTATCTTCTCCACTTTGAAGTCTGCAAATTTTGTTTAAATTGTTAAATTAGACATGATTTTGATGATACCAATTAAATTGGCTTAAGTGTGACCCATGAAATGGAGTTATACATTTCATAGACAATGTTGTGAACTTTTCAAGTCTTTTCATAGGTTGTGATCATTGTTCATCAGAGGCAAAAAAATAATTGTTGGCACTTAAACAAGAACATAGCTTAATTTGATAAGGTGTGATCTTTTCAAATTATTTATTTACTTTGTGGTCATTACATTTAAAAAGTATTTTCGAATGATCTTTGTATTTTTGGTAGTGAGTTATAAATTTTTATTTTTAATAAGATTTTATTGTTGCTAAAAAAATAAATTTAAAAAATATTTATATAATATGTTTGTTGAGCCTCATTTCAACTCGTGGATCTTATATCACAAAGAAGGGGAAGACATTATTTTTCAAACTTTACATATGATGTTTAGAAAATCTTAATTCTCGATAGACTTATGCTCATAATTTTCGCCAAGGTAATGTTCAATTAATGCTGACTATTCACAACTCAAATTGCAATAAAATTTTTTGCCTGCAAGATTGAGATTTACATATTAAGGACCAGGTGAATGACCTAAAAGTCTAATCATGTTGTTTTGGCTTAGATGTTGAATTCAACAATATTAGTGAAATTTGGATAAAGTGAAATACCTAAGCAAGAATCTAACATCTAAATAGCTTTGCATATGTTGAACAAATCTCAAAAAGAAAACGAAATAAGATATATTAATAGGTGCTACAAGATCTCCAAGTGAAATTCAACTGTCTACAAGCAAGAAACTTGTCTACAAAAGTTCTCTGGAACACAAATTTACAAATGCAAAGAGACTATTTGTTTTATTAACAAGGGCCTACGTGCAACGTGGTTAGGAGTTCCAGTTTTTTTTTTTTTAAGAAAACTTTTCTAGTGGAAACAAGTTATCCTTCATCAGTTCGATCCTCATAGATCAATTAACACCTATTCTTTTCTCTTGTAGGAGTAATATATACAAATCATTGTACATATCATAAAGAAGTTATCGCCAATACTCGAATTACAGAATCACCACTCAAGAATGGAAAAAAAAAGTGAATGCAATCTTAATAAACAAATAACAAAGAGAACCAAAGCATATTCCTATTTCGTTTTTGACAATATGGAGGTGATACTTGGATTTGAGCTTTTTGGCCTTCTTGGATTTTTGAGACCGCATTATGATGTTTGTTAAAGTGGTAAAAAATTATGTTCTACCTTTACTTGATCACCAATTAAGTGCACATTGAAGGTAAGATTTAAAAGAATTATGATGATGACAAAGTAAAAAAGAAAAAATGAATTAATTTATATCGGTACTACTAATAAAACTTTCTTAATATGAAAAACTTTTAATTTTTAATTTTTTTCTACAAATCATTGCAACTTATTAGCTAACTTTTTATTGATCGGATCACATTTGTATTCTTTAGATAATAGTATATTTCATTTGTTAATCAAAATAGTCCACGTGCAACGCACGGGTGCACTAACTAGTTGTTTATAAAAGACTCAATTTTAGTTATAGGATGAGAAATAATCCCCTCATATTTAAAAATTACCTATAGTCCCCTTAGATTTTCAAAAACTTTATACCTCATTTTATATATCCAGGGTACTTCATTTCATGTATTCAGAAAGTTTAATTGATCTAACATTTTATAACCAAAGGGGAAATTTTAATCACATGGACAAAGAAAGTTTGCTTAGATGAATCTGATGACCAAAAGAACAAAAAGAAAGAAAGGTGCTGCTAAATCAAGTTAGAAATGAAAGAGGTAGAGAGTGATTAACCTACTACAGAATAATTGTGGTGTTTATTCATTGTCGTTGTTTGTGTGGTTGTAAGGTTGATGCACTAGTGGAGGGATCGAAGCCAATCGATACTCTAGAGGACTTAATTGATCGTGATATTGAACACAAGTGTGCAAAAGTCTCATGCAGTAATTCGAGAAACCTTGTTAGAGTGAAGCGCTCAATCGACATGCTCAAGATAGTATTTGAGCAAATTCTAAACCAGAGGTAACTTATACAAATTTTATTTTATATATCTCTATTTAGTGAATTCATGGCAATAATAGGTGTGAGACAATAGCTGATTTTGGGCCATTGTATCACTGAGGTATGCCTCTTGGTTTTATGCTCAGCTTGGGCCAGTTGTTTGCTGCAGTACAATAGCCTTCTCTTTAATTTCTAGCTAAAATGCAGTAATTAGAATGGGATATTCGAAAAAAAAACGGAGAGATGCAAGGACTATGCACTCTGCATATTTGGCATGAAAAACCTTCTAACATGGAAAGCTTTTCTTATCAATTTGCACGAAGAAATAGAAATGTCAAGATATACAAATGGACCTTACAATTCAACCAAGGCTGCCATTACATATGCTACTTAACATGTTATGAGGTCCCTTTCCTTTTGTCTTTTTTCTAAATTATCTTCTTTGAGTTTATACATTTTATCTTACATTATAAGATATATTTTGCCCTTTAGCTCTAAAAGAAGTAGTAGTGGCTAATGAATGAGTAAGTGACTTTTATAAACAGTTTGCTGGTTTTCCATTATATATCAGTGAACTTTTTTCTTTCTTCCAGATATATATACTACTGTTAGAATAATCTAACAAGTTTTAAGAATACCTAGATTTCATTTGCAGGGGAAATTCCTTAATTGGTCCAGTTTCCAGAGCGTATGAGCAGGTTTTTGCTCCGTACCATGGATGGGCTATTAGAACTGCTGCCTATACTGCAATAAATTTCGTTCCCACAATGGCACAAGTCTTGAAGAAATGTAATGAAAATGGTAAGTGGATATTGTATCAAAACTTGCAGCCACCATCGCATGAACAGTTGATTAATTTCAAAACTGCGAATGTTAAGTTGCATGCTTAAAACCGGACCTTATTAACCTTGATTGATTGTATGTAACGTGTACAATGAACAGTTACTCGTCCAAATCCTTAATCTAAGTCCTAAATTAGCTTGCATCAAAACACTTCATATTTGTAGGTTTTTGGATGAGCTTGATTGTGATATTATTTTTCAATATTCTTGCTTTATTTTTTTTTCCAGAGGCCTCAGCAAGGATTCAGATGCAAAACTATGTTATAGCATCGTCTTCTGTTTTACAATATATTGAGAATTTATTTCACTCAAGGGAATCAGGCGAAGAGGTGCTAGAATTGGTATAATCAGCTATTACACACACTCTTTTAAGTATGTAATATGACCTCATGTTGAAGAACTTGACTCAAGATAATGCATGTAATAACCTCATGATGTGCAAGGTTAAACTGTTTTTATCATGTTTCCCTTTTATTTGTAGAATGAACCATTTGAACTTATGGGAAAGTTTCTGTAAGATAATTTATAGCTGATATGGATCAAACCAAGTGTCTGCCCACATCAACAAAAATGTTGCATGTCTATTTGGATAATTTGCATCTAAACGACTCGTCGTAGTCACGGTTGCTCTGTTTTGAATTGTTCATCGTGTGATGTTTTCTTCAATTATGTAATAGACTACGCAGCCAACCTTCCACTGGGGAGTGTTAGGGTATGTGACTATGTCTGATCCCAGCTGCAATTGCATGTTTTATTCAAATATGTAATAGACCCTATCGACAGGTCTCTTCCTTGCAATAGACTTTTCCAACACCATAATTGGACCAGCTTGGGTTGGTTTGCCCTAATTGTTCGGAAGGAAAGTACAACCCTTTTGAGTATTTTAACACTTTAGTCTTCTGGATTTCTGACGACCCTTTGAGTATTTTAACCCTTTAGCCAATAAGGTCTAGCTTTTGTTTCTCCTAGTGTTGACAGGCATGACTAGTGAGGCGAAACTCTCCCCACTAGAATTGCCAAAAGAATGCAGGTGGGAAGCTAACTGAGTAAGCACACTAATTGTTAAAAAATTGACTAATTTCGTGAATTCTTGATATAAATCTCAACATAATTTCATGGTTAAGATGCTTCAAAGATCAAGTTTTGAAAACATCAAAGAACAACGGTGTTCTACAAAGTCAAATCAAGAGATATTTAATACACTTTCAATATTTATGACAAATGTAATAACCTAGATACATAAGTATACTTGGTTTATTTATAGACTTTGGATAATTAGGATAATGGAATTGAAATTAGGATTATCTATGAATGAATCTTAGGCCTTTCATGAAAAATATTTTCTAAATCTTAAATGTGTTTTAAAAATATAGAATGAGTGATGTATTGGATCTCATTTGAGCAACACTTCTTAATGCTCAATATGTCAAGTTTTTGCTATATTTCTAAATTAAAAACTAGTAGAGGTCGTCATCTCCTTGCTTGTCTTCGACTAGAGCGGTCTTTGAACACGTAGAGCAAATGGAGAACAAGTGGAGCTGGCTCTCTAGCTACTCGAGTGGTCTGAGAGACGACTCAAGCAACCTTAAGACAGCTCGAGTAGTCTGTTCCCTGAAGGTCTAAAATAACTCATTTTTCACTCCAAAAACCATTGCCTTATGACTGTCCTTTCACTACTCGAGTGGTCGATTACAAATTTGAGTTTACTTGGGCTCTAATTAAACATTATTTTTTGGGACTATTGTTTCAACCTAGGTTAAGTCTCTATGAGAGAGAGCTTCAAGAACAATTTTAGATCGCTAGAATCCAAAAGGTCAAATCATCTTGATCCTTTCTATTCAACTTCACACATCGAAGAAGAAAATCTTATTTGTTATTCTACCATAAACCCCACATTAGTGTGTGTAGATTGAGAATTTTGGGTGCGTCCTAGAAGATTGTTTGAAAGGCCTAGATGGTTCATTGTGGTGAGCGCATCCAAGTGAAGCCTACTCAAGATCAAAGAGGGTTTTCATGTCAAAAAATTGTTTGTGTTATGGACAATCTTTATTGCTGTATTTTTCACAGATACTTACAATAGCACAAATGCGCATAAAATTTGTTCGATGGAATCCTTGTTTAATTTCTTTATTTGACATATTCATCGATTTAGTTGTGGTTAGTGAAATTGGCATGGTTGTAGGGATTCGATTGATTGATTGGATTGTTGGGGCATCTTGTGGACATACATTGCATCCATTCATTGATAAGAGGTTGTTATCGTGGGTGAAAGGGATTCAAATGGTCAATTGACAAAATTCATTGTTCGATTTAGTAATTGTGGTCATTTAGGTTTAAAATTTGTGATTTTTGTAGCTTTAATTTTAATAAAATTATTTATCCCTCTAGGTTGTGTCTAACAATTCCACATGTATAATTGTGAAGAAAGATTCACTCGATTCTCTCCACCCCACTAATCAATACCAAGGAAGAACAGGATCAGGGTCTAGATGAGATACCAAGCTACGAATTAAGAGATGAGTGGGACAGTGGAATAAATATTCTCTTATCAACCAGGCTTAGTTGTTATGAAGGGTGAGTAATGGCCTAATGGGGTACTCATAGCATAATTACTTGGGCAGGCCAGGGGCCCGTATAAGCTACTCCTAACCACCTTTGTACGGAAGGTCACATGCTGTGCACTAGCTGCCCGTACCCCCAACAACCTTGACCATATTTGTGTGACCAAATGGGCTATGTGTGCCATATATGTCCATGAATTAATTAGATATGTGGAAGATACCTTGGATACACATGTGACTTGTGTAGGGCAGTGGAAACTAAATGTCCCTCAGGACCCTAGCGCCAATAGCGAGAACTTCCTTGTATATATTGTCATTCAGTCTAATTAGTGTTATTCATCTATGGTTGGGTCAATAGTGAAATATATATAGGAGAGCAAATTTGAGGTGAGACCATTCGTTTGGTGAACTATCTGAACATAGCAACTTGTACCACAAGATTTCATTAATAAGAATGAGAGACCTCTTTGTAATTTGATTAAAGTTCCTTACTTAATGAAAATATGATTGATTAAACCCTTTCACAGTCATAGAAATGAAGAAATATTAATTCACCTTCTTGCTTTGATTCTTCTAGACTAGGGGTTCGTTTTTGTGAAGGGTTTGTGAGATGAGGCAAGGAAAGAAACTCTCGCAAATGCTGGAGTTGGCACTAGCATATAGCAAAGCTCCAAAAGTTGTTTGATTCGGGTATAGCATGTAATGATAATTGATTCCAATTCAATCCATGTCGGTCATAATAATTCATCCACACTTTATTCAATTCCAACTATAAGGTGCTTCAATCAAAGTTTGGATAATGTGTTGGTTCATTTTGTGTTAATACTTATTACCAATCTCATATTTAGATGAGAGGCGACAATACCCTACATTCTATCATGGGTAACTCCTGTCAATTTGGATACCAATACCACTCAGTTCTAAATTTTCTATATCGATAAAATATTCATTTTGAACACGATCCAAATCTAGTATTATCAGATCACCAAACTAATTTAATCGAACCCCACCCCTAACACCCGAACTAAACAATACGCTGAAGAGTTCCCAAATTAGGAACTAGATGTATAGAAGAATGCCTGCAACCAGATCAACCAACATCAAGGCCGAATCGCTCCAATGCCAGTACAAAATGTGCCCAGCAAATGGGTATCAGAATGGCCTTTTCTCACATTCCCCAGCTAAATCAACCAGTTTTAGAATCAAGAACTCTATGAAGTGCCAGCAGTACTTCGTTGGCTTGAGCAATTTGATGCGATAGTTGATTTAGCTTCTGCAAAATGACCACCCATATGAAAAAAATAATCAGCGTGGCATTTTCACAAGCACTTGGAAGCAAATACAATTAACCAACAGAATCTTTTCCCCACCTCGTCTTGTTGTTTGATTATATGGATCAAATCACCAATGCTCTCTCTGGATACTTGTAATAGACGTCGCCGCCGGAGTCTTAAGTACAACACCGTGAATAGCATGGCCGCGGCCACCAAGACGGGGGAGAGAAAAGACCAACGCACCCCTCTGGTGTTGACAAATTTTCGAATTGTGGAAGTAATGTCAGTAATATGACAACGTAGGAGCTGGAGCCCCAACCTCAACCACCTCGCAACGTCGCCGGCTCGCTTCCGCGGAGGACTTGGCACCAGCAATGGCGGGTCATCTCGATCGAGATCGAACGGCGAGGATGAATATGATGATGAATTACAACTATTTTTCTGATCAAAAGGGTATGATGAGGATGTGGATTTAGTATTGGGTATTGGGTGAGAGGAATGTTTGGAGATGTGAAGATTTTCGTGGTCAATTGGAGGGAAGATTAGAGAGGTTTGGTCATGGGTGTGGGCTGAGTCTCTAATGGCCATCATTGACGACCATCCGTTTGGCAGGTCGTATTGTGTTTGACTATGGCGATGAGGGTAGTTGATTCGCTGCCATTTTAGTAAAACTTGAATGGGTGTTTCAGTTTCTTCTTCTTCTCCTCCTGAATCAGCCATTTGTAATGTTGCAGACTGTGTGGTACAGTATCTGAAATAGTTGCACTGTTCAGACCCAGAATCAGAATCAGGTGTAGATCTGTTGTTTGGGGAGACGATGACGACGTCCGAAACTCACGATTTTAAGGTTTNACAGTTGCACTGTTTAGACTCAGAATCAGAATCAGGCGAAGATCTGTTGTTTGGGGAGACGATGACGACGTCCGAAACTCACGATTTTAAGGTTTTACATTAAAGCCCATAGTCAGTAAGCCAACTTCTTATCTCATATGGATCTGTTTGTGAATCGGGTTTCATTTGTATGGCCGGCCCATTCCCTAATTGACGCAGGCATTGTTGGGCTGAAATGGCACAAAGTCGAGCCTGAGCATCGGACTGTTTGGAGTTGATTTGTGCACTCACAACAGTATTGAAGTTAGTTTGATCGTAACGTGACGAGTAATTTAGATAAAGAAATCGAATTAAAACTGTGATAAATGAGTTTCAAATAAACCTTGCTCATTAGCAAGCAGGAGCGAAAACGAGTTTTCTTACCCAATAGCTCGGGGTATGATTCTGTCGGATTTCGATTCCCAAGTGCTCCAACTTTTGAGAAGAGGGTTATGGGGTGCTCTTTTAATCCTTTGAGTTCCCTTGTTGTCAAAGGGTGGTGCTTGACCTGTATCGACTATATTGATCCTTATTTATTTTAGTAAAATTTAAACTCAACTTGGCTTATCATGTTTGGTCAAACAAACCGAACTCGAATTTGTATTTAAGCTAAAACTCGAATTCATACCAGTGCTAAAATTAGTTCATAGTAAACTATTTGAACTACCCTTATCAAACTACTAGTAAAAGAAAGAAATCAAACTACTTACTAGCGGCAAGAGACTTTATTACTTCTTCATATCAATTCTGCACATTTATACATATATAACTCATACATTATGTACATACTTGTTTACGAGACTAACGAACTTAAAAAATCATTATTTGAACTCTTCAATAAATGGACGACATTAAACAAGTTTATGTTGAACATTTATCACGAGTTATTCATAAACACCTCCATTAATTTACAACTACATTTGGTAATACTACATTTCATTGCTTATATCACTTGAGGAGGTGGAAAAAAAAAATTCCCAATCAACAAGGCCGTAAAGGAGTCAAACGAGTGGTGTTACTGGTTGTTTAAAAGATATATAGAAATCAATCAAGAGTTAAAAAAGATTTAGAGGATAGTTGAGGAAGGTGACAATCTTGTTGGTCAAACATATAATTGGTTGAAGGTTTTGTTACCAGCATGTTTTCTTTGTTTGGTAACCCTGATCTAGATCATATCATTTCAAGCTCTCTCTATCTCTCTCTCTCTCAAACGAATTAGTAGTTTACAAAGATCAAAGTCAACTTATCCAATTAGCAGCATCCATTTATATTTTTAGTTAGTAATAACACCTGAAGTATGATCGTGTATGTGTTGATGCAGGGAAACGTGTGAAATGAAATCCAAATTAAATAACAAAAATTACTTGATTATTGTTGATCATGCAAGAAGTCTTGTTGATTTTTAGGATGTCTCTAAGCTCCTGAATTGTCTTTACAAATCAATATACATAGAGAATTCTAGTAATGTGAAGTTTTCAGGAAAAAAAAAACATGCAAAATATACGAAATTATGTCTTGTACGTTTGAGTCACTTTGCATTGAGATTAGTAAAATAGTTGACCATTGAATTCTTTCCGGAGACACTAAAACAAGGTCAAAGTCACAGAAAAGATGTGGGCTAAAATGCATATTTTTAAAAGAGAAGATTATAACGACTCATAAAAGTAAATTTGCACATGGTGTTTGAAGGGAATAGTGGATCAAAATCAAGAGAGAGCTAGAGAGCTAAATCTGGTGTGGTTCATGTATGAGGAAAAATTTGTTGGGATATCATATGTGAGAATTTCATATCGAATAAAAAATAAATTGAAAGAGTTCTAATATGCTGTGAATAGATTTATTAGTGGCCTAATAGGAAATATTAACGTCTAAACTTTGAGTGACAATATTTTATTCTTATAAATAGGGTTAAGTATAATATAATAAGTTATTAAATTGCCAGATAATAAAATATCAATGTAGTTTTTTGGTTCGTTGATATAGGTATAATGTATCATCTATATAATAAAACAAGAGTGTGTTTGAATTTTATCCCAGTCATATTTTTTCCCCTCAAAACTATCATCAATCACTTACCTCACCCATCATCCATTTGTCAAATTCAAACGTCAAATCGCATCACTCATTTCTATCACATATTTAATTATTTATATATTTGATTAATTTGTAGTTAATATATTTTGAAAAAATTTAATATAGTGGGATCGATTTTTTGGACGTTTGCATTTTATATTTTATCGTACCTTCAGACACGAATTATGACTAGTGTATTTATATTATGTCTTTGTATTTTTGTTTTATTATTTTTTCGACAATTGGTATCAGTTCTATTAATCGTTGCACAGAACCAACAGAAAAGGGGGTTCATACGAAAGCAAAAGGTTCAATCTTCCCCAAATCGTTGGGGGCTTTACGAAATTGGGTCACGAGCCTTTTGTCGCAGAAATCAATCCCGATTGGCGCCTTGGTCATCATCGCTTCCGACTTAGTCCTTCGCTGTACGTATTGCATCACATGCTTTATTAACTAGATTTATCAATTCTGATTGCTCTATGTCAAATTGGATTTGTTTATGAAGAGGATCTTGTTGACAAGAATATTAGAACCTTGCTATTGTATGAATATTGATGGCATTGGTTGACCCATCATCCTATTATTATTATTATGTACAAAATGAAAGTAAACAAACAGGTATAGACCACCCCCAGATATGGACACCACAGACCGCACAGACTAGATGGCTTTTGACAGTTTGCAAACTTGGGGTAATGGACAAGGACATGCCCAGATATGGACACCGCACAGACTTAGTAAGTGTCAATTTTGGATGCTACTGTTTGACAAATACTCTGCGTAAGCCAAATCGTATGGTTATTATTGTCCACAAGAAGAGCCAAATGGATAGAGAATAGTAAGCATTTGCTGTTTTGCCCACAAGAGTTTAGGATGTGTTAAGTTACATAAAGCTTAAAAAAACGTGGATATAATCCATGAAACGTGGCCACCATATGCTCAGCAAAAATCAGTCACTCCATGCCAAAAGCCAGTTCTCTCCCTACCCCCCGTTAGGAGAAAGTATTGGGTGCTTATAAGCCTTCAGCTGACCGTGTTATTTTTATTTTTTATTTTTTTTGTTATAGGGTATTCAAATTTACGCTGACTATTTCCTCGAGTTTAGCGGTGGTCACTGTGGCATGAACTAGGATAGAGCATGTTCTTGAAAAACAATTGAACAAGGGTTATTAGCCCTTAGCGCGTGTGGAAGGGAATTGAACTTGAGACTTTTGGGTTATCAAATGTTAGACTCAACCGCTGAACCAACCTAAGGGTTAGGTGATAGTGTTCTTTGGTACCTACACCCAATGAAAATTTGTCACACAACTAGTTCGTGAGACGCACAAATTAGCTCTTTCGAAAAATATTGTCGGATTTAGTAAGATTTTCTCTATTTGACAAGGTGACAGGAGACATTCATTCATTGAACATGTATATTTTTTTTATTGGTAATGTGCATCATATTGCACTGCCCGATGAACATTCAATATTTTCTCCCACAGTTTTTTTCTTAGGCGTCTTGTCGTATTTGTCATGTCATTTAGAATATGAATAAAATTTTAATTAGTCTTAAAATATTTGACATAACTTGGTTATTTGTATTTAGTTTAATCGACATACCTGTAAAACGAAATTTAACACTAAATTTCACTTCTCTTTCCACCAAACCAAACATTTATATCCTTTCAATATGCTAGAAATCAATTAAATTCATATATGCTTGCAAAAACAATCAAAAATCATCTGTTTTACAAGAATTCACCCATACAATACTGGATTGAAATTTTTTTTATTCCTACCATACTAACGAAACATGAACAACCAAGTTATTGTTTGAAACTAATTTGTTTTGGAGAGTTTTTGTCATTTTTTAATTAATATAAAAACCTAGTCAATTCCACCCTTGTTAATTATATTTCAGATTCGTGTCGTTTTATTGTACCATATCGAAAATAATCACTTCTTGTACTAAACACACTTTCATATTCTTCTCACTCAAAAAAAAAAAAAAAAGCAGTTGTTACACTGAGATTATCAACTGTACATTACAGAGCAACTTAATGATTTTTTTAGCACAAGGTGTATGTTTTGTGGCACTTGGAAGCATGTGTGTTTTCCTTTGTATTGACGGCCAAAGTTTGTATCCACTTGAGATGACTATTAATGTTAAACAATCTTAGACACAATCCTCAACAGCACCAGCTCATGCTCTGACTTCCATTGCTCAACAAAAGCTGGAAAACTAAACTCCAATTGTTGTAATAATATAAGACACTAGACAGAGAGTTCAAATAATATATGTTTTGAGTTTTAAACCCAATAGATAACTAAGAATGGTGTAAAAAACTTCAGTCATGATGCCATATTTGTCCATACCATCTTGTTTTATCACACACACGGGACAAGGAGGACACAAGTACAAGAAGAGGGGTGATGATTAAACATTGCTCTTAAGAATGTAGCATATGTAAGTTGGGTAAGGCTACGGTACTCGACGACTTCGATAGTATACCGTCATCAATCTCAATCATTGATTTTGAAGTGGATGATTTGCAATTACTGATTAAAAACATGATAAAGTAATAAAGAATCATAAAATATAGAAATTACATATATGACGTATTTTTATTTGTTGAAAGTACTTTTTGGTAGGGTAATTAAAATAACCTAGTTTTCAAACTCAAACTAGGTTTTCTTGTATCATATTTTAAAGTTTATTTTTCAATTTACTTTAGTTTCCACTAAAGAGTGGTTTAAGTTTGCGCTTTTCAATATTAGACTTACTCATAAAACACGCATTCAATAGAAAAATCATGAAACATAAATTTTGAAGACATAATTTTACTTGACCAAAAAACCAAAAAAAAAAAAAAAGACACTTTTACAATTCATGGTGTGGGTTTAAACCATGTTTTCACAAAACCATAGTACACTTGTTTAGGATTTTATACCTTGTGCCTAAAAAAAGATATGTAACTCTCATGATTTTGGCTAATATAAGTAGTTGATTTTATTAACGATGACGGATAATGACCTTAAAACATTAACTATTTCATTTTCTCTCCTCCCCCCTTTCCCTCATTAACTCGAGATCGAAAAATTGACATAACAACGTCATAAGTTTTGTATATTATAACAAAAATATCTTTTACAATTTGAAGATGCTTTTGTTGACTAATTACACATATATCCTCTTATGTTACAATAATGGTTTAAAAGGCCTCAATTTTGAGCATTGTTTGTGATCATATTAAAAATTTAAAATGGTTTGCTTCCCTTTGGTCCTCCTTTTTAAACCACAAACTAAACAATTTTATCACCTATGAAGCATGAATATGAATACGTGACACGGGATACGATACAATATGGATACGACGATACGATAAAATTTTAAAAAATAGGATACGAGTATGAGCATGATACGTATATAATAAAATATATTATATATTTTATTATTATTTAACGACTTATAAATTATAATTTTTTAATAATTTTTTAACATTAGTAAGTAAAATTATGAATTTTTATCATGAAAAGAATGTAATATCGTCTCATTATAATATGTTCATAAAATGAGCATGATTAATTGAAGGAATCATGATTATATTTAACTAGTTGGTTTTACAAGTATTTATTTTTAAAAGTATAGTGTAAGTGACTCATTTTTTTTATATTCTCTTAACATTTAATAATATATAATATTTAAAAAACACTCGTGTTTTCAAAATCAAATAAAAGTTTGTTGATATTTTATATTGTATGTGGACGCCAAAGAAGAGGTATAACATAAAATTGAAAATTATACATTTTAGTCTATGTTTAAAAGTATCCGCGAAGTATCCACATATTTTATTAATTATCGGATACAGATGATACATATCCGATATGTATCATCGAGTATCCGATATGTATTATATCTGATACAGTATCCGATACGAGTACATCGACATTAACAAAGTATCTGTGCTTCATAATTTATCACTAATGCAATCTTTTATTGGTAATATCTATTTCACTTGATCTCTTCGTATGACCACATATCTAACCATTAATATTTTTTTGTCCCTTTAGCCCTTTATCTTCTTTGTATTGTTTTACCGTTTATCTTAAACCTTAATTACAAAACCCAATTAAAAGGTTAACCGAACAAAAGGACTAAGTCAATAAATCACTAGAAAAATTACAAAACAAAAATACACGTTATAAATAAGCTATAATTTATAAAAGTTATGAAGATAACATATTTTAGTTCTAATTACATCAAATAAAACATAAATATGAAAAACATTAAATATATCTATGATGCATTCAAGAGAAATTCTAAGGGCAAACTTTTAATTTTTAAACTAAACATTTAGAATCTTGAACGTTTGGAGAAAATATTAGATATCATAGTTACACTGTGTCATCACGTTAAAATAATATAACCGTCCACTAATAAGATAACAAGTAGACAAGTAGAGCACGCACAATTAAATAACTATTCATTCATGATATATAATAACTTATAGACTCATCAATTGTGTCAGGTGAGACGAATTCCTGTTAAAAAAATATTTTACCTATACCCGATTTATTTATTAATTTATTTTTAACAAATTGTGTCATATTAGGTTCACGTCATATGGTATATAAATGAGTCGTATCATATATTTCTTTTGATTGACTTCACTTGTACTCGATTCATTTATTAATCGTGTCGTATTAAGTTCATTCGTTTACTAAACATGTGGTTTAAAAAAAAATTCAAACTTTCAAATTTTGTATCGTATTAACGGACGGTGTCCGACACTCTAATAAAAAGTGTGTTTTATTCCTTTGATTTTTTTGCATTATACTACACGGTTACAGCATGTTAGCGTGATTCTTTTCTTCAAAAATTATGTTTTCAAATTAGAATAATAATTTCTAATTTGGTAGTATCTATGGAGACGGATATATCAGAGACTGCAGCTTCTTCGCAAAAACACTGTAAACAAAAAAAGAGGAAGAATGGTCACTGAGAGTGAGAGCTGTCCAAGAACGTAAAATGACATCCCAGTAAAGTTAACATGACTTTTTAGAGAGAGAAAAGAAGGGTAGAATATATTATCAGAGAGAGAGAGAGAGAGAGAACACGTAAACAAATATAGTCCGTATATGCAATAGAGGATACNAAGACGTCCCAGTAAAGTTAACATGACTTTTTAGAGAGAGAAAAGAAGGGTAGAATATATTATCAGAGAGAGAGAGAGAACACGTAAACAAATATAGTCCGTATATGCAATAGAGGATACAGGGAAGAACACGATACGCTTCACCGTCCCTCCATACACTTCTTTTAGCGACGTCTATTCTTCTATTCTTTGCTTCAATACTGTTATTTTCCAGTGATTTCTTTCTGGGTCTTCTCAGTCAATTCTCTGCAATCACTCGCTCTATCTTGAAAATGTCAAGCGGAGAAGCTTCGTCTTCTGGATTGAGTTTGGAAGGGCTCGACGATGTTGAAGAATTTCCCTGGGTCAGTTTTGTTTTCAATTTATTATGAGTTATTTTTGCTTTTTTTACTGTTTGGTCTCTGGGAAAATGCAGGAAAATAAAATTTAAATTTCGGAGGAATTTGGGTGAATGTGGTTTTGAAATTTTTGAATTGAGAGCTGAATAGCTAGTGGGTTTTGAAATGCATGCAGGTGAATGACGGAGAAGGGTCGTCGATGTCGTGGGAACGATTTAGTGATGTTTATGATCTCATGCAGATGGGGAACAAAGCTTTCCGAGCGAATCGATTCGATGAGGTAAAACCCTTCTTAACGCAGTTACTCTTGTGACAGTACTACTTGCTTCGCACTTGTGTTGTCTTGTTATAATTTGCTTCATAATATTTTCTCATGTTGGTATTTGACTATATGAAGAAAACAACTTTCTGGTAATCAAGAACATACGATACTTAGTCAAGAAAATTGCTGTTTAGAATGAGCATTCATTCAATGAACTTGTTCTTTTATTTAGTTTTTAGCCTAATAAGGTTAAACTAGGAAGTGCTGTGGTCATGTATATTAAGAGGGAATCAAGTATTATATGTTGCAATGCCGACTAATTAAGGTGTAGGACAGGGTTTAATTTGATGCATTTTATCATATTTGGTTAGGAATCAAGCCAGTTTGTATACGAACTTAGAGTTCATAGGATTTGTCCAATTAATCCCTTTAGGAAATTCACTCCATAGCATTCCATAATGCTTTTTGATGATTACCATTCCAACCAGTGATTGTATTCTCTGTGTGAATCTAGTGCTCACATCTCAAAACTGCTGCCCTTTTCATCCATTTTTGTTTTGGCCATAATATGATATCGGCTGATTTCATATTAATCAATATGCCAAAAATTCCTTTGAGCTGGTAGAAAGAATGTGGACATTTAACCTGTTTCAGATGATTTGAATCATAAAAATAGGACAATTAGTCAGGTATGAATATCCATATAAGTTCCAAATTATAAGTGATGCAATGGAGGCAGACAGATCAATATTGAATGTTTTGGAATGCTGAATAATTTGTTTTCCAACTCCGTGGATGGTTGTGAGTTGGGATTAATGATATGTTGATGACATTTATCAGCATTGTTCTCTTTATTTCTGTATTTTTTGCAAGGCTGTTTCTGTTTTGTGGGGATTTCATTTCTTACTTCACTTTCAAATTTAGAAGCCAAAGCCATGCAATGAAGGAATCTTAGGATGTTTTTGGTAACATTTTTGTTTTTATGGTTTTTTTTTTATCAAAAAACTAGTCTTTGTTTTTTGTGATAAAAATTAAAAAATATATAATATTTTTGTAGTCATTTATATTTAAAAAATTATGAGAACAAAAATAAAAAATATGTTTGGTAATTTACCCAAAACACCACCAATAACTGCCCAATCCCACCAAAAACCCACCCCCAAACCCCTTCAATCCACCACCCACACCCCTAAAAATCCACCCCTACCAACAACCACCCAACACCCTCGAAAACCCATCACTCACCACCCCCAAACAACTGTAAACCCTCCCCCAACACCTCCAGAAACCCACCCCCCAACACCCTAAAACCTACCACCCAACACTCCCAAAAATCAATCCCCAAACCCCCTAAAAAGCCACCACCCAACCTCACCAAAACCCATTGTTAACAACCACCCAAAACCCATCACTCCCAAACCCTCTGAAACCCACCCCAACACCCTCGATATGCTCCCCAAATCTCTTGAATTCCACCACCAACGCCCCCAATACGCCCCCCAAACCCCCTGAAACCCACCACTCAATACCCCCGAAAACCAACCCCTAAACCCCCTAAAAATCTACCACCAAAACCCACTTCTAATAACCAGCCAAAATCTACCACCCAACCCACCAAAACTCACCACCAACAACCACCAAAAACCTTCCTCTTGCTAAAGAACACACCAATGAGAATACGAGAGGCTGGAGAGGCACAGAGACGGGAAATGGAAAGGGAATGGGAAAGGGAAAAGAAAGGAAAGCGATTTTTATATTCAAGTAATAAAAATCATTTATTTGCTGCTAACAAGACTTGAAGATTGTATCTCATGAAAGGTCTTCTAGCGCCTCCCACGTGTTTTTATTTTGAATGTTTTTAAAAATATTATTTTGGATGTTTCCATTTTTTGTCTTTGTTTTCAAAACGTAGCAATAAAAAAAAATAGAAACAATCACTAAACGCATTTTTATTTATTTTTTTCTCCAAAAAATGAAAGCAAAAACAAAAAAAAATAAAAACACTCGATTACAAACGGGTCCTTAGAGTTCTGAATTATGCGAGACAAGTTGTCCATTACTATATTCAGAGTGGTCTAACTCTAACATCAAATTCACCTTTTTAATATTGTTGAGTTTTGGATATGGTTTTCATTTAGAAAATTTTCAACATCAATTTTTTGGAACCAGCAGCCGACATTTGTTTTAACACAAGTGCTCTTTGACGTGGTCAGGGATGTTTTAATGTGAGGGTCTTATAGGGGGTAGGAGGTGAAGCAGGCAACGGTTATTTCGTGTTTACCCTTTTAAGAGGTAATTACATCACATGAATGCTTGTTGTCTTCTTCAAAATTATGGGCGTTTATATGATAGTGTTCCCTTGAACCTGGTTGTCAAGCTTTGTTGAAGATCAGACATACTTGGCCGGATTTTCTCTCTTCTTTTCCTCGTCATGGTTGTGAACAGTTTACATTTTACTATGGTTGGACTTTGGATCTTTTGAACTATTTGTGTTGCAAATAATTCAAAATTTTGGAGCATGATAAAGAAAGTATAGATCACTAATTAATGAAGAGTAAGCTTGACAGGAATAAAATATTTGACAATAGCTGTAATGCAGTTAAGGTCTTTTTGAATGCACCAAGCCGTGTGAGTAGCTTACATTTAAACGTCGTCCTTACATTAATTTGTTTATTTTTTTGGTGGTCATGCTTTATTGATATGTATAGACAACATATCATGTTTCTGCTTAATGAACAAAAATTATATGATGTTTTGTTTGTTTTCTTTTTCAAAAAATAACTATTGGACACTTGTAGCACATTCTTGGCAATTTTGATTTGTCATAGGAGTAAAGGTTGTTTGCAGTTTTCTGTTTTTCAATGGGGTAATTATATAATTGCAAATCCATTGACAAAGCTGCGGCTTATTATTGCTGAAGTAAAATTTCACCTCATGCAGCTATTTCTTCATCTGATTGGGTCACTATTTTCACAAGGCAGGCTGTCAGTTTGAGTTATGATGTTCTGTGATTTTTTGCACAACTCAAATAGGAGAATTTGTACAAGTTTTAGTACCAGCTTCCCTCGTCCTATAATTTGCTACCTATAGCCCAAAATGAAGCAATGCTCTGATGAGGATAATTTTCTCGGTGCATAATTGCTTTTATTTGACCATGAGACATCGGCATACATGATAACATGACAAATTTCTTAGATACTTAAACTTTTGTGTTTTGTGTTATGTTGTTTCTTGTTTCAATTGCTGAAAGGTTGTGTTTTTCTTCTTAAGGCAATCAACTGCTACTCGAGGGCTCATAATATTAAACGAGGCGATCCTATCATTCTCAGCAATCGATGTGCTACTTATCTCAGGTGCAATTTATTTCTTGGTATATGTTTCTAAATTGTTGATACGTGTTTCACCATTGTTAACCATTCATGCACAAAACCCACCAAAACTAATCTGAATTTTCTTGACTTGACGTTTTTAGATTTAGCTATTGATCAATTTCTGCATTGACAGTTATGTTTTAAATTCTGTCCAGGAGTAGTCAGTTTCTGAAACAGAGACCTCCATCAGCTTCTGAATATAGACCGTTGAGTGGCCTTGATCCAACAATACATGCTGGAGTATGTCTATTTTCTCATTTTGTATGGTTAAAGAATCCTTTATTTTGTTCCAGATATTATTAAGACATTTATATCTCCCATTTCAGCTTGCTTTAAAGGATGCTGAGAAGGTCATGAGCATTCGAATTAATTCAATAACTTCCTACATTTTGAAGGCTCATGCTCTCATCTTGGTGAGATCTCTTACTGAAGTTCTTGATAGCCACAATTATAATCGGTGACCTGCTAATTGACTTTCATGTGTTTTTATACTTGTTTACTATTAGTTTTCTTAGGCCAATATGTTTGGCCTTAGTTTCTCATAATATTCATGGAAAGAGAGCTGGACTAAAATGGAAGTTGTGCTGCTTTATGTTTAATCGATAAATTGTAAAGGGATAGAATCACTTAAGATTGCTTGTATCATTCATAGATAGGCTGGCTGTTAAAGATGAGGAAATTTGGTGTTACCGAAGTGAATATGTGGTTGTATTGCCTCCTACTCCATACTTGGATAGGTGCCAAAAATAGGTGTATTGGTTGGGGATGGTTCTTGAGTCTTTAGGGTTTGGACTACTATATGGTAGAGTTTGTTTGTTCTCATTTCTGAGCAGTATGAAGTATNTCAAACTTTCAAATTTTGTATCGTATTAACGGACGGTGTCCGACACTCTAATAAAAAGTGTGTTTTATTCCTTTGATTTTTTTGCATTATACTACACGGTTACGTCATGTTAGCGTGATTCTTTTCTTCAAAAATTATGTTTTCAAATTAGAATAATAATTTCTAATTTGGTAGTATCTATGGAGACGGATATATCAGAGACTGCAGCTTCTTCGCAAAAACACTGTAAACAAAAAAAGAGGAAGAATGGTCACTGAGAGTGAGAGCTGTCCAAGAACGTAAAAAGACGTCCCAGTAAAGTTAACATGACTTTTTAGAGAGAGAAAAGAAGGGTAGAATATATTATCAGAGAGAGAGAGAGAACACGTAAACAAATATAGTCCGTATATGCAATAGAGGATACAGGGAAGAACACGATACGCTTCACCGTCCCTCCATACACTTCTTTTAGCGACGTCTATTCTTCTATTCTTTGCTTCAATACTGTTATTTTCCAGTGATTTCTTTCTGGGTCTTCTCAGTCAATTCTCTGCAATCACTCGCTCTATCTTGAAAATGTCAAGCGGAGAAGCTTCGTCTTCTGGATTGAGTTTGGAAGGGCTCGACGATGTTGAAGAATTTCCCTGGGTCAGTTTTGTTTTCAATTTATTATGAGTTATTTTTGCTTTTTTTACTGTTTGGTCTCTGGGAAAATGCAGGAAAATAAAATTTAAATTTCGGAGGAATTTGGGTGAATGTGGTTTTGAAATTTTTGAATTGAGAGCTGAATAGCTAGTGGGTTTTGAAATGCATGCAGGTGAATGACGGAGAAGGGTCGTCGATGTCGTGGGAACGATTTAGTGATGTTTATGATCTCATGCAGATGGGGAACAAAGCTTTCCGAGCGAATCGATTCGATGAGGTAAAACCCTTCTTAACGCAGTTACTCTTGTGACAGTACTACTTGCTTCGCACTTGTGTTGTCTTGTTATAATTTGCTTCATAATATTTTCTCATGTTGGTATTTGACTATATGAAGAAAACAACTTTCTGGTAATCAAGAACATACGATACTTAGTCAAGAAAATTGCTGTTTAGAATGAGCATTCATTCAATGAACTTGTTCTTTTATTTAGTTTTTAGCCTAATAAGGTTAAACTAGGAAGTGCTGTGGTCATGTATATTAAGAGGGAATCAAGTATTATATGTTGCAATGCCGACTAATTAAGGTGTAGGACAGGGTTTAATTTGATGCATTTTATCATATTTGGTTAGGAATCAAGCCAGTTTGTATACGAACTTAGAGTTCATAGGATTTGTCCAATTAATCCCTTTAGGAAATTCACTCCATAGCATTCCATAATGCTTTTTGATGATTACCATTCCAACCAGTGATTGTATTCTCTGTGTGAATCTAGTGCTCACATCTCAAAACTGCTGCCCTTTTCATCCATTTTTGTTTTGGCCATAATATGATATCGGCTGATTTCATATTAATCAATATGCCAAAAATTCCTTTGAGCTGGTAGAAAGAATGTGGACATTTAACCTGTTTCAGATGATTTGAATCATAAAAATAGGACAATTAGTCAGGTATGAATATCCATATAAGTTCCAAATTATAAGTGATGCAATGGAGGCAGACAGATCAATATTGAATGTTTTGGAATGCTGAATAATTTGTTTTCCAACTCCGTGGATGGTTGTGAGTTGGGATTAATGATATGTTGATGACATTTATCAGCATTGTTCTCTTTATTTCTGTATTTTTTGCAAGGCTGTTTCTGTTTTGTGGGGATTTCATTTCTTACTTCACTTTCAAATTTAGAAGCCAAAGCCATGCAATGAAGGAATCTTAGGATGTTTTTGGTAACATTTTTGTTTTTATGGTTTTTTTTTTATCAAAAAACTAGTCTTTGTTTTTTGTGATAAAAATTAAAAAATATATAATATTTTTGTAGTCATTTATATTTAAAAAATTATGAGAACAAAAATAAAAAATATGTTTGGTATTTTACCCAAAACACCACCAATAACTGCCCAATCCCACCAAAAACCCACCCCCAAACCCCTTCAATCCACCACCCACACCCCTAAAAATCCACCCCTACCAACAACCACCCAACACCCTCGAAAACCCATCACTCACCACCCCCAAACAACTGTAAACCCTCCCCCAACACCTCCAGAAACCCACCCCCCAACACCCTAAAACCTACCACCCAACACTCCCAAAAATCAATCCCCAAACCCCCTAAAAAGCCACCACCCAACCTCACCAAAACCCATTGTTAACAACCACCCAAAACCCATCACTCCCAAACCCTCTGAAACCCACCCCAACACCCTCGATATGCTCCCCAAATCTCTTGAATTCCACCACCAACGCCCCCAATACGCCCCCCAAACCCCCTGAAACCCACCACTCAATACCCCCGAAAACCAACCCCTAAACCCCCTAAAAATCTACCACCAAAACCCACTTCTAATAACCAGCCAAAATCTACCACCCAACCCACCAAAACTCACCACCAACAACCACCCAAAACCTTCCTCTTGCTAAAGAACACACCAATGAGAATACGAGAGGCTGGAGAGGCACAGAGACGGGAAATGGAAAGGGAATGGGAAAGGGAAAAGAAAGGAAAGGGATTTTTATATTCAAGTAATAAAAATCATTTATTTGTTGCTAACAAGACTTGAAGATTGTACCTCATGAAAGGTCTTCCAGCGCCTCCCACGTGTTTTTATTTTGAATGTTTTTAAAAATATTATTTTGGATGTTTCCATATTTTGTCTTTGTTTTCAAAACGAAGCAATAAAAAAAATAGAAACAATCACTAAACGCATTTTTATTTATTTTTTTCTCCAAAAAATGAAAGCAAAAACAAAAAAAATAAAAACACTCGATTACAAACGGGCCCTTAGAGTTCTGAATTATGCGAGACAAGTTGTCCATTACTATATTCAGAGTGGTNATAAAAACACTCGATTACAAACGGGTCCTTAGAGTTCTGAATTATGCGAGACAAGTTGTCCATTACTATATTCAGAGTGGTCTAACTCTAACATCAAATTCACCTTTTTAATATTGTTGAGTTTTGGATATGGTTTTCATTTAGAAAATTTTCAACATCAATTTTTTGGAACCAGCAGCCGACATTTGTTTTAACACAAGTGCTCTTTGACGTGGTCAGGGATGTTTTAATGTGAGGGTCTTATAGGGGGTAGGAGGTGAAGCAGGCAACGGTTATTTCGTGTTTACCCTTTTAAGAGGTAATTACATCACATGAATGCTTGTTGTCTTCTTCAAAATTATGGGCGTTTATATGATAGTGTTCCCTTGAACCTGGTTGTCAAGCTTTGTTGAAGATCAGACATACTTGGCCGGATTTTCTCTCTTCTTTTCCTCGTCATGGTTGTGAACAGTTTACATTTTACTATGGTTGGACTTTGGATCTTTTGAACTATTTGTGTTGCAAATAATTCAAAATTTTGGAGCATGATAAAGAAAGTATAGATCACTAATTAATGAAGAGTAAGCTTGACAGGAATAAAATATTTGACAATAGCTGTAATGCAGTTAAGGTCTTTTTGAATGCACCAAGCCGTGTGAGTAGCTTACATTTAAACGTCGTCCTTACATTAATTTGTTTATTTTTTTGGTGGTCATGCTTTATTGATATGTATAGACAACANATTCACCCATACAATACTGGATTGAAATTTTTTTTATTCCTACCATACTAACGAAAAAAATATTTTACCTATACCCGATTTATTTATTAATTCATATTTAACAAATTATGTCATATTAGGTTCACGTCATATGGTATATAAATGAGTCGTATCATATATTTCTTTTGATTGACTTCACTTGTACTCGATTCATTTATTAATCGTGTCGTATTAAGTTCATTCGTTTACTAAACACGTGGTTTAAAAAAAAACTCAAACTTTCAAATTTTGTATCGTATTAACGGACGGTGTCCGACACTCTAATAAAAAGTGTGTTTTATTCCTTTGATTTTTTTGCATTATACTACACGGTTACAGCATGTTAGCGTGATTCTTTTCTTCAAAAATTATGTTTTCAAATTAGAATAATAATTTCTAATTTGGTAGTATCTATGGAGACGGATATATCAGAGACTGCAGCTTCTTCGCAAAAACACTGTAAACAAAAAAAGAGGAAGAATGGTCACTGAGAGTGAGAGCTGTCCAAGAACGTAAAATGACATCCCAGTAAAGTTAACATGACTTTTTAGAGAGAGAAAAGAAGGGTAGAATATATTATCAGAGAGAGAGAGAGAGAGAGAACACGTAAACAAATATAGTCCGTATATGCAATAGAGGATACAGGGAAGAACACGATACGCTTCACCGTCCCTCCATACACTTCTTTTAGCGACGTCTATTCTTCTATTCTTTCCTTCAATACTGTTATTTTCCAGTGATTTCTTTCTGGGTCTTCTCAGTCAATTCTCTGCAATCACTCGCTCTATCTTGAAAATGTCAAGCGGAGAAGCTTCGTCTTCTGGATTGAGTTTGGAAGGGCTCGACGATGTTGAAGAATTTCCCTGGGTCAGTTTTGTTTTCAATTTATTATGAGTTATTTTTGCTTTTTTTACTGTTTGGTCTCTGGGAAAATGCAGGAAAATAAAATTTAAATTTCGGAGGAATTTGGGTGAATGTGGTTTTGAAATTTTTGAATTGAGAGCTGAATAGCTAGTGGGTTTTGAAATGCATGCAGGTGAATGACGGAGAAGGGTCGTCGATGTCGTGGGAACGATTTAGTGATGTTTATGATCTCATGCAGATGGGGAACAAAGCTTTCCGAGCGAATCGATTCGATGAGGTAAAACCCTTCTTAACGCAGTTACTCTTGTGACAGTACTACTTGCTTCGCACTTGTGTTGTCTTGTTATAATTTGCTTCATAATATTTTCTCATGTTGGTATTTGACTATATGAAGAAAACAACTTTCTGGTAATCAAGAACATACGATACTTAGTCAAGAAAATTGCTGTTTAGAATGAGCATTCATTCAATGAACTTGTTCTTTTATTTAGTTTTTAGCCTAATAAGGTTAAACTAGGAAGTGCTGTGGTCATGTATATTAAGAGGGAATCAAGTATTATATGTTGCAATGCCGACTAATTAAGGTGTAGGACAGGGTTTAATTTGATGCATTTTATCATATTTGGTTAGGAATCAGGCCAGTTTGTATACGAACTTAGAGTTCATAGGATTTGTCCAATTAATCCCTTTAGGAAATTCACTCCATAGCATTCCATAATGCTTTTTGATGATTACCATTCCAACCAGTGATTGTATTCTCTGTGTGAATCTAGTGCTCACATCTCAAAACTGCTGCCCTTTTCATCCATTTTTGTTTTGGCCATAATATGATATCGGCTGATTTCATATTAATCAATATGCCAAAAATTCCTTTGAGCTGGTAGAAAGAATGTGGACATTTAACCTGTTTCAGATGATTTGAATCATAAAAATAGGACAATTAGTCAGGTATGAATATCCATATAAGTTCCAAATTATAAGTGATGCAATGGAGGCAGACAGATCAATATTGAATGTTTTGGAATGCTGAATAATTTGTTTTCCAACTCCGTGGATGGTTGTGAGTTGGGATTAATGATATGTTGATGACATTTATCAGCATTGTTCTCTTTATTTCTGTATTTTTTGCAAGGCTGTTTCTGTTTTGTGGGGATTTCATTTCTTACTTCACTTTCAAATTTAGAAGCCAAAGCCATGCAATGAAGGAATCTTAGGATGTTTTTGGTAACATTTTTGTTTTTATGGTTTTTTTTTTATCAAAAAACTAGTCTTTGTTTTTTGTGATAAAAATTAAAAAATATATAATATTTTTGTAGTCATTTATATTTAAAAAATTATGAGAACAAAAATAAAAAATATGTTTGGTAATTTACCCAAAACACCACCAATAACTGCCCAATCCCACCAAAAACCCACCCCCAAACCCCTTCAATCCACCACCCACACCCCTAAAAATCCACCCCTACCAACAACCACCCAACACCCTCGAAAACCCATCACTCACCACCCCCAAACAACTGTAAACCCTCCCCCAACACCTCCAGAAACCCACCCCCCAACACCCTAAAACCTACCACCCAACACTCCCAAAAATCAATCCCCAAACCCCCTAAAAAGCCACCACCCAACCTCACCAAAACCCATTGTTAACAACCACCCAAAACCCATCACTCCCAAACCCTCTGAAACCCACCCCAACACCCTCGATATGCTCCCCAAATCTCTTGAATTCCACCACCAACGCCCCCAATACGCCCCCCAAACCCCCTGAAACCCACCACTCAATACCCCCGAAAACCAACCCCTAAACCCCCTAAAAATCTACCACCAAAACCCACTTCTAATAACCAGCCAAAATCTACCACCCAACCCACCAAAACTCACCACCAACAACCACCAAAAACCTTCCTCTTGCTAAAGAACACACCAATGAGAATACGAGAGGCTGGAGAGGCACAGAGACGGGAAATGGAAAGGGAATGGGAAAGGGAAAAGAAAGGAAAGCGATTTTTATATTCAAGTAATAAAAATCATTTATTTGCTGCTAACAAGACTTGAAGATTGTATCTCATGAAAGGTCTTCTAGCGCCTCCCACGTGTTTTTATTTTGAATGTTTTTAAAAATATTATTTTGGATGTTTCCATTTTTTGTCTTTGTTTTCAAAACGTAGCAATAAAAAAAAATAGAAACAATCACTAAACGCATTTTTATTTATTTTTTTCTCCAAAAAATGAAAGCAAAAACAAAAAAAAATAAAAACACTCGATTACAAACGGGTCCTTAGAGTTCTGAATTATGCGAGACAAGTTGTCCATTACTATATTCAGAGTGGTCTAACTCTAACATCAAATTCACCTTTTTAATATTGTTGAGTTTTGGATATGGTTTTCATTTAGAAAATTTTCAACATCAATTTTTTGGAACCAGCAGCCGACATTTGTTTTAACACAAGTGCTCTTTGACGTGGTCAGGGATGTTTTAATGTGAGGGTCTTATAGGGGGTAGGAGGTGAAGCAGGCAACGGTTATTTCGTGTTTACCCTTTTAAGAGGTAATTACATCACATGAATGCTTGTTGTCTTCTTCAAAATTATGGGCGTTTATATGATAGTGTTCCCTTGAACCTGGTTGTCAAGCTTTGTTGAAGATCAGACATACTTGGCCGGATTTTCTCTCTTCTTTTCCTCGTCATGGTTGTGAACAGTTTACATTTTACTATGGTTGGACTTTGGATCTTTTGAACTATTTGTGTTGCAAATAATTCAAAATTTTGGAGCATGATAAAGAAAGTATAGATCACTAATTAATGAAGAGTAAGCTTGACAGGAATAAAATATTTGACAATAGCTGTAATGCAGTTAAGGTCTTTTTGAATGCACCAAGCCGTGTGAGTAGCTTACATTTAAACGTCGTCCTTACATTAATTTGTTTATTTTTTTGGTGGTCATGCTTTATTGATATGTATAGACAACAGATCATGTTTCTGCTTAATGAACAAAAATTATATGATGTTTTGTTTGTTTTCTTTTTCAAAAAATAGCTATTGGACACTTGTAGCACATTCTTGGCAATTTTGATTTGTCATAGGAGTAAAGGTTGTTTGCAGTTTTCTGTTTTTCAATGGGGTAATTATATAATTGCAAATCCATTGACAAAGCTGCGGCTTATTATTGCTGAAGTAAAATTTCACCTCATGCAGCTATTTCTTCATCTGATTGGGTCACTATTTTCACAAGGCAGGCTGTCAGTTTGAGTTATGATGTTCTGTGATTTTTTGCACAACTCAAATAGGAGAATTTGTACAAGTTTTAGTACCAGCTTCCCTCGTCCTATAATTTGCTACCTATAGCCCAAAATGAAGCAATGCTCTGATGAGGATAATTTTCTCGGTGCATAATTGCTTTTATTTGACCATGAGACATCGGCATACATGATAACATGACAAATTTCTTAGATACTTAAACTTTTGTGTTTTGTGTTATGTTGTTTCTTGTTTCAATTGCTGAAAGGTTGTGTTTTTCTTCTTAAGGCAATCAACTGCTACTCGAGGGCTCATAATATTAAACGAGGCGATCCTATCATTCTCAGCAATCGATGTGCTACTTATCTCAGGTGCAATTTATTTCTTGGTATATGTTTCTAAATTGTTGATACGTGTTTCACCATTGTTAACCATTCATGCACAAAACCCACCAAAACTAATCTGAATTTTCTTGACTTGACGTTTTTAGATTTAGCTATTGATCAATTTCTGCATTGACAGTTATGTTTTAAATTCTGTCCAGGAGTAGTCAGTTTCTGAAACAGAGACCTCCATCAGCTTCTGAATATAGACCATTGAGTGGCCTTGATCCAACAATACATGCTGGAGTATGTCTATTTTCTCATTTTGTATGGTTAAAGAATCCTTTATTTTGTTCCAGATATTATTAAGACATTTATATCTCCCATTTCAGCTTGCTTTAAAGGATGCTGAGAAGGTCATGAGCATTCGAATTAATTCAATAACTTCCTACATTTTGAAGGCTCATGCTCTCATCTTGGTGAGATCTCTTACTGAAGTTCTTGATAGCCACAATTATAATCGGTGACCTGCTAATTGACTTTCATGTGTTTTTATACTTGTTTACTATTAGTTTTCTTAGGCCAATATGTTTGGCCTTAGTTTCTCATAATATTCATGGAAAGAGAGCTGGACTAAAATGGAAGTTGTGCTGCTTTATGTTTAATCGATAAATTGTAAAGGGATAGAATCACTTAAGATTGCTTGTATCATTCATAGATAGGCTGGCTGTTAAAGATGAGGAAATTTGGTGTTACCGAAGTGAATATGTGGTTGTATTTCCTCCTACTCCATACTTGGATAGGTGCCAAAAATAGGTGTATTGGTTGGGGATGGTTCTTGAGTCTTTAGGGTTTGGACTACTATATGGTAGAGTTTGTTTGTTCTCATTTCTGAGCAGTATGAAGTATCATGAGATGCAATGCTCTCTGAGATTATGTAAGCGGGAACTTTCTGGGATATATATTAACGGTGGATAGAAATCTATAGAAAATTCTTGGATGCTATACTTTGGGGATCCTGATAAAAATTGCTTCCACGGTTGGTCTTAATTATTTGAGGACCATGTTGCCGTCAGGATCCTCAGGAGATTTATGGAAAAGGAAAATGGATTTACTTATATTTTCCATGTATGTATTTTCTTAGTTGCAATCATAATGTATGATAAAGAACATAGTGATTGAAGCAGAACCAAGTTGGAGTGATTTTTTTTTTTCGGCAACTAACTGTATTCTTAAGTCATTGTATGCTAAGAAGTGTAAATGGCGGAGATGCTAAGAAGTTTTCGCTTAGTGTTGGTCCGTGATAATCAAGGATGCTATGAGTGTTGATCTCCGGCTTTATTCACAGGGATAGCTGTTGCTTCCTTTTTGAAGTACAATAATATAAAGAGTTCCCATAAATCTATTTTGTTGGTCCTAATCTACTTGAGCTTTCTTGGTTAAATGTTGTTCAATTTAATATAAAAAGTTCAATATATGAGACATTTCTTTGGCGTAGAACTTGATGTATTGTATTAAATTATTCTTTCTTTGTGGAAATGTCATTCTACAGTCTAGATCTAAACATGTAATGTGTCAATTACTTTGTTTGTGAGCCTGGAAAGGGTATTTGGTGTATAATCATGTCATCAGAGACTTAATCAGTTAGCTCGTTGTGGATTGATCTATAAAATGAATTAGAGTGCAGAAAATCTGGATTATGTTCTTGCTATTTAGTCACGACCTTCAAGTTATTTTGAAGATCTATGTTATTGGGATCTTCATCTTTCATTGCACAAAAGAAGTCTTAGATTCAGGTTTTCTCAGCTATAAATTGATTCATAGATGGCAAGGTCTACAATTTGTCATTATAGCTTTGTTAGGCAGTTGTGACTCAATTTTGCTTTCTGACCACTTGAAATGTGGACAGAACCTTTCTTAATCTGTGGTTCCTTGCATTTGTTATTCCCTTCATGCTTTATTCAATCTGAGTGGTAAGTGCTTTCTTGGGAATGTTGAGTGGGTGAGTGGCAAGTTTAGAAGTATGGAATTAGAGAGGCTTATGATAAAGGGAGCTTCTGTTGGCAAGATGAGGGATGTAACCAGATGTCATTGTGATGGGTTGATAAATTTGCAGTGAAGCCCAATAAATGCATTTAATTGACCGGCTAGCACTAGTGGATCAAGTAGAAGACCAAACGAATGTTGGTTGAATCTCTGAAAAAAGATATTATGACCTAACCCAGCTTTTGGATAGCCGATAAAGAAAAAGGAATTCCTGTAGCCAAACACAGATAACATTGAGTTTTCATGGGAATGGCTGTTTGAGGTATTATTGCCTCAATGATTTATTCTCATCATAGCTCGCATACATATTTCCGTGATTCCCTCTGCGATATCACAGTTTGGCCAAATCTAAACACTTGTGCATACTTCTTTGGAGGTGTGCAGTTTAATGACTCCCTTATTTTAGTAGTAATTTATCAGGCATACAGCTATAGAAGGTACACAATCACACTGGAATTGGTTCTTGCTGATATTTGTACTAGTTTTCTTTCATTTTTTGGTGCTTTTGTATTGATAAAGGAATCGAAAAGTTTTTTTTTCCCTCCTTTTTTCTATTTCTAGACATAATTGCTGGGTGGATGTTACATGTGATATACTGACTCCCTAACATCAATTGGCAGTTGGAAAGATATGAGTTGGCCCATGATGTTATTCTATCAGGTCTTCAGGTCGATCCTTTGAGGTATATAATCTAATGTTATTGGTTTCCTCCATATATGGATTATGTCGCTTGTTTACTACCCGTTGGCTATGCAGTATTCCATAAATGAATTAATTTATCATGTTTCTCTCGAAATGTAGCAATTCTCTGCAAAATTTGGGGAGAAGAACAACCAGTACAATTGGGAGGATAACCCATCGGAGGCCACAGCGTACTGATGACTTTGATTGCACTCTTTGCTTGAAGTTGCTTTATGAGCCCATTACAACTCCTTGTGGTCATTCTTTTTGCCGCCCATGCCTCTTTCAATCAGTGGATCTACGTGAGTGTTTTACAACTCCTTGTACTGTTTTTTGCAACTACATGAGCTCTGCTTACTCTTCCTTTTCAAGTACATTATGTTAATCTGTTCCTTATATCTCCAACCCTGGATGGAAATGGCTAGGTAACAGGTGTCCATTGTGCCGAACAGTTTTGTTTCTCAGTCCCACAACATCTGCAATCAGGTGAGTTGTTTTTGTGGTAATAGCTTGTCTTAGCAGTGCAATTCAGGCCACAGCTTTCTTTCCTTGCTAGAGTTTTGCATTCTCTGCCTATATGTTGGTTCAGGTGTCGCCTTCACCCATGTGATCCATGTGCAATCACAATTTTGGCTTGTACACCATTGTTATCCATGTCAATTGTTGACCACAAAATGTGAATAGAAGTTGACATGTGACTACTCAATTAGGTCAGTTTGTACCATTTGAATATCTTTCGGGAGGCCACTGGGAGGATATGAACCTATGCAGCCAACCCACCTAGTTGGGATTTTGGCTTGTGGGTTTGCTTTAATTTAAGTTTAATTGTTAGTATCGTATGATAAGTCACGATAGAGAGGTCAAACGATACGAATCGGAGTTTTGTATCGTTTTTGCATAGTATCGTCCGATACACAATACGTTTTTTCAATACGATACGCGCGAAGTCTTTGTTTTTTTTTTTTTTTATTAGAATGCAATGTAAATCAGCAAAAACAGAGATGAAGAGAAGAATTATCAATCCACCAAACCCACAAATCAGCAAAAATACCCAAACAAAAGCAATACAAACAAATTTTTGAAATTAGAAAAAATAGCAACACTAACCTGTAAATTTCGGATGAAATCCTAAGTTGGTTTTTTTTCAGATTTTAGAAAACACTTCTTCTTCTTTCTCGTAGAGGTCCATTGCAAGAAACCCTAGAAAACTGGAAACCCATCGAAGAAGTAGATCATCCAAGACCATTGAAGCAGAGAGACACTCTGTCTCACGATCTTTCTCTCTCTGTCTCTCGATCGATCTTTCTCTTTGTCTCTCGATCGCTCTCGTGATCTCTCTCTTTCTCTCGTCTTTTTTTTTTGTTCTAATCAGGCACCCTGGTCATTATGTTTTAAAATAAGGAGAATTACATTTAGACCCCTTGAGATTTATTACTTAATCACTTAGTGATTTAAATCGGGAAGGTCTAGAATTCACAGAATAGAAAGAGAAGAAGAAAGAAGAAGGGGTAAAAGGGGTTCACCTCGTCCTCGCAAGGAATTAGTGAAGAAACACACAAATCTCCGCAGAGAATGTTCAATTCCTATTCATAATCTCTCTCTAATTAAAAATAGTTGGGATTACACCATTATTTATAGGCCAAGTCCCCTACTAAAATAAAAATTACTTTCCTACTAAAATACTAAAAGAGTTTCATAATCAAACTCAAATCCCTATCCTACTAAAACTCAATAACAATTTCCTAGTTAAACTCTAATTAATACTCCTAGTCAAACAAATATTTTCTAACTAATAAAATAATACTAAAACAAATAATAAAATTCAATTCTTCAATTTAAGCTCATTTAATCCCTTTTCGATCTCTATCAATTCTCTTCGGCTGAAAAAAACTCTTCTCCGAAGAGTTGTTGTAGCAAGAATACTCCAAAAGAATTGACATCAGACGGTGAAACACATCTTCAAACCTGATCGCATAGATAAGATTTTCCTTCAATGACATAATATAGGATATCACAATGGGAGGAATTTATATCTTGAATCTTCATAACCTTCACACTTTGTTCCAAATAGAAGGACGGTGAGGATGTTGATGAAAAATTAGCAACCCCATCTAAAAAAATTACGTTTGAAACTTGCTTTTCATTTGTAGGAACACTCTTTGTAATCGGCTTGTCAAAAACAATTGTTGTAGGATGAATAGAAGTAGAACTTTCGGGCTCATCAACATTGAATAACTTCGGTTTATCATCATTCAATCAGATTGTAACTTGTAGTGGTGGAACATGTGGTGGTGGAACTTGTGGTATAACTAGAGGGCTGTGTTCAACCACTTTTTGAATGACAGTTGAAGAGACAAAGTTAATATCTTTATTTGTTTTGGTTTCACAAACTGTAGCGAGCACAAGTTCTCTTAGTGAATCGATGGATGCTTGAATTGTATCTAGTCTAGCATTCATAGCCTTTTGTGAATCAATTTGTGCTTGCGATAAAGCCTCTACGTTAGCATTTAATTCGGCGTTGGAAACCATCATAATCAAGAGGAAATTTTGAAACTTCTGGTGGTAGTTTTGCAACTTTTGAAACTTTCTGGAGTGTTTCTGTAATTTTTGAAACAGCTGGGATATTGCTGCAATTTTATGAATCTGTTCGAAGAGTTTTTTTTTTTAACTATCCAGCTGATGAGCAGTACCCCCGTGAATAGTGTTGATGAATAGTTGCGAAATTTTCTTTTATTTTATTATTTTTTTTTTTTGAATACGGATCAAAGTTGGACTCTAATATCAAATTGATGTAAATCGGGAAGGTCTAGAATTCACAGAATAGAAAGAGAAGAAGAAAGAAGAAGGGGTGAAAGGGGTTTACCTCGTCCTCGCAAGGAATCGGTGAAGAAATACACAAATCTCCGCAGAGAATGCTCAATTCCTATTCATAATTTCTCTTTAATTAAAAATAGTTGAGATTACACCATTATTTATAGGCCAAGTTCCCTACTAAAATAAAAACTACTTTCCTACTAAAATACTAAAAGAGTTTCATAATCAAACTCAAATCCCTATCCTACTAAAACTCAATAACAATTTTCTAGTTAAACTCTAATTAATACTTCTAGTCAAACAAATATTTTCAAACTAATAAAATAATATTAAAACAAATAATAAAATTCAATTCTTCAATTTAAGCTCATCCAATCCCTTTTTGATCTCTATCATTTAAACTCCATAATATTTGAAATATTACGCACCGATCCCCTAAAATTTATTCACGCGTAACACTTAGACCCCTACTATAAATTTATCTGTTAATAAATTACATCTAAACACCCTAAAGTTTGTAAACATATATTTTATTAGTAATTATTTAAAATTGCACCGTATCTTATGATACACGATACGATGCGATACACTATTTTTAAAAAATGATACACCTTCCGATACATGATTTGACAACTATGGTTGTATCCATACACTAAGACCATAGTTATCATAATTCACTAAATCCTTAACAATCCATGATCTGGGTATATCGATCCCAAACGAGGTGAGTTCACGATCTAGACCACCAAAATGGACGACTTCAAATTATAATACTTACTCTAAATCAATTCGCTTTAGAACATGTAACACAAATATAAAATATGTATTAATTGATTACATGTATATAAATTTATAATTATATATTATTTTAGATAATAGAAAATTAAGCACAACTATAAAATAAATGATAGCTAAGTTAGTATTTATGAATGTTTTGTAATATATAATGTTGTATAGTAGAGAAAAACAATCTACATAAGAGTTTCGAAACGAATTGCGATCCAAAATATTGTACCAGTTAAATCTATTCCCATCATATTGCGTACTTAAGAAAGTGTCGCACCATGTTCCCATACTTTTATCGTGTACCAAATCGACTCCCGATCCAGGTAACATTGTCTGGGATAATATCCTGGCACTGTTATGGGCATGGAAAATGTATACTTCTTTCATAAGTCTGTCTAACTGCATAACATTTGTTTAGCTTTTTCCAGTGTGACACTGAACCACATAATACAGAGGAATTTTCCAGAGGAATATGCTGAAAGGAAGTTGGAGCATGATAGTTCAACAAACGTTGTTAATGATTTTATGCCTCTTTTTGTCATGGATGTTGTCCTACCATGCCAGAAATTTCAACTCAACATATTTGAACCTCGGTATAGACTAATGGTGAGTAGTTCAACCTATTGCTAGTTTTCACGTATGGTCTCTTTATATTGCCATTGTTAACCCAAGAAACTTGAATATTTTTGCATGGCAAAATCTTTCTTAAGGATAGATTTGACTATTGCTGCCTTCTACTAAAATTAATGTAGACAATTGAATTCTGGCTTATTCATTAAATTGGCCGTGGTATGAATGTTCATCTGATTCAATGAGACCAGAATCTTAGCTTGGTGCAGGGGAAACTGATAGATTCCTAGCATTCAGAAAATGGATTCCTGAAGGTTGTGTATCTGGTAGTTTGCTATTTAGATACTGACCTTTAATGGGAAGTCTGACGTATCACAAGGTCTGAAACTATGAGTGCTACTTGCACTGCACAAAGCAATTCACAAGTGATTAGCACACTCCACAGGAGGTTGAAAACCTGATATGATAAGGGTTTAGAATCATCTGTTTAAATGTGAATCCAACTTAAGGCAGCCTACTATGGTTGAAGTGAAAATTTATCCATGTAGAGCTAATTCTAATCAAATTTCAGTTGTATCTATTTTGGATATTCAAATATTTTGACTTATTGTAAAGCTAATATCATCTAGGATCTGTCACAATTGTATGCAAGCTCGGACCTTGGCGTATAGAAAGAATCTATTCGGATTCGAACTGTGCCAGATCCATCCTTATTTTGCCCTGTTTAGTTCCATGCCAAAATAAGTGTACAGATAGTTTCACATTTTAGAATGTAGATACTCATGAGTCGTGGCTTTTGATCCATAGGAAATCTTTGGTTTTATTTTTTCTGGTTAAAAAATCTATTTATTTATGGGATTTTTGGGTTTTATTTTTGCTGCTTCTGTCTCATGAAGGTAATGCATTTCATTATTGAAGTGTTTTCTCAAGATTAGGTATCAAAATCTCATTTTTGTACACATCTTCTGATACCTGATTTTTTCTTTGGAGCTCTACTTTGACAATTAAAGAAATGAGACTTCATAGTTTAGGCATCTTTACTAGTGATGCAAGCGTAATTAGTGTTAGTTATCCTTTTGTCTCATTCGACATGCTTATGTCGTAGTCACTGGGAAATACTTCCCCCAAGTTTTAGGCAGTAAAAGAGAAATAATTGTTTATTCTCATTAAGCAGTGTAATGACAGTATTGGACTCCAGCAAACATAAAATTTTGTGTTATTGTCTATTGCCTCATTGCATGTGAAGGCACATTAACATTCGAAGTGAAATGACATGTTGGATTGCATTACAAGAGTCTATCCTGCAAATGTGAAATTAATGATTATAATTTTCTATCTAAATCAATGTAAGACAGTCGTAATATAGATTATATTAATCTCGGTCTATTTCTTTAACAACAGGTCAGGAGAATAATGGAAGGAAATCGTCGAATGGGAATGGTATATTATTGTAACTGTGGTCCTTTTCTGTCCCCAGTTCTCATTAATTTTTATTTGATTGTCCTGCATTCCCTCACTGTTACTAGCCGTGCCTTTCTATTTATCATGTAGGTTATCAATGATTCAACAACAGATTCTGTAGCTGATTATGCTTGTGAAGTGGAGATAACTGAGTATGGTGTTTATTTTTATTTTTCTTTTGCAAATGTTGTTTCATTTTGTTTTTCAATTGTTGACTCACATTAACTATTTACGTAATACTTTCCAGAAAAAAAAATATTTACGTAATGTCTTTTCTTCCACAAATTGTTGTTTATGCTGCCTTGGTTTATGACAACTTGTTTCTTTCCATGTAGTTGTGAACCACTTCCAGATGGGCGTTTCTATCTACAGGTAAAATGGCACTTTGTTTTTTTTTGCTTGTGTAAATACATTTGCCCTTACTTTCCTTGAATCATGCCCATGCCTTAAATTCTTATAAAATGCTCATATGTCTTTGCTGATGTCCAGATCATTGAACACTTCAACTTTTTTCTTTGGAGACTAATGGGGAGTTCATATCTGATTTGTTAATCTTTATAATATGAAAAGTTCCCTAATTTTTGTGAAACACGAGGTTGGAACATTCCTGGTATGGTAGTTTTTGTTGGAGCTGGTGTTTCTGGCAAGGACCTCTTTGATGGTTTCTACAATTTTTTTCTGGTGGACTTTTTTGCTTGAGGTTGCATTGCACTTGTGACTGACATGTGAATCTTTCTCCTTTTTGGTTTTTCATCACCTATACCAATGGAAAGTAGTGACTTTCTACTTGGATCTTTATAACACCCGAGACCTTCATTTTGCGAAACATTAGCTAAGAAAGTTGTTTGTAATGAATAGCTCTATGTCTGAACGTGGTTATATATATTATTTTACAAGGCAAGAACTTTTTTGGTACCTGCTCAGCCATTTCTTATGTGACTCAAAGGTTCTGTCTGATCCTTGGGAAACTTCTTGTGGGGAGTAGTTTGGGAGAACTTATAATAGGGGTGTTATCATCTAGGGTGATTGCTACTTTTATTTATTTCAAACCCTATGAATCTGCATAGCCTAAGGATACTATTACTTTCTTGATTGCATATCCTATAATTCTTTATTGTGAATGCCAGAAGCATCTTTCCTCATATCGGGTGGCTACATCAGAACTTTCAAGAGTGTCGTTATTCATTGAATGATCATGAAAGTTAACTTTCCCTGGTCTCAAAGACTCTTGTGAAGCCACTGATTACAACAAGCCATGACTTCATGGAACACTGCAATTCTCTTTTATAGTTTTCTATATTTTGAATTGGACTAGCTACCAATTTCATCATGCATGTATTTTCATGACATTGGTATAAACGGTTTTTTTATTAGTAATACAAAATCATTATGATAGGCTAATGCATTGAGGTGGTATGTTTGTACAAGAGCACATGGTAAAATGCTTTGAAGAAAAACTTTCCTCATACGGTATACCTGTTGTGAAGATTTCATTTCTTGTAGAGTCTTCTTGTCATATGTTACACTTTTTCTGTTTTGGCCAAGTAAATACAAGTTTTTGCAGGTTGAAAGTCGCCGGAGATGTCGCATCCTTCGAAATTATGTTCAAGATGGGTTAGTTTAATCACCATTGATTGTCAATTTCTGTAATAGTGGCCATTTATATGATTCACATTTATCCAGTTATCTGGGTTATGAATTTGCATTATGTTTTTTTTCTTTTTTTTGGTTTGTGAAGTTATCGCGTTGGTGAGGTTGAATGGGTACGAGATATATATCCACCAGAAGGAACAAGAGAGAGAGCAGATGTAAGAGTACTGGAATTTTGGCTTACTATATATATTCTGTTTAGTTCAATAAAGAACGTGAAAAATTATACACCATCTTTGGCTACCTAGTTTTAAAAGTCCATGTTGAGGCTTGGGTTGAGAATTGCTCAGGTTTCAAAATTCTTTGAACTCGATGGATAAAACTAGGCTTCCATCAGTAACCTGCTTCGGCTCAAGAAGTGATTTCAAAATTCTTTGAACTCAATGGATAAAACTAGGTTTCCATTGCTAGTCTGCTTCGAAATCTGAAGCTGACACTTACGTTTGTGCCTTTCTATGCATTGGCTCATGAGGCCTAAGCATCATTTAATTCATGTTTAATCTGTATTATGGCCATCAAAGTTCTTAGAATTCAATAAGTTTTTGATATATTTATATTTTATAGTTTTTTCACGTGTCTGATATTTACACAAACTAGTCAATGTTGTGTGCTCATTGGCAATTTTGTATACCATAATTTGTACTATCAACTTACCAGTGTCTTTTTTCCTTCATTTGACTATTCTTTTTTGTCTTCTAAGTAGCTCAAATTTTATGCAGAATCCATGGAGAGCCTTATTGACTAGCTTTTGAAATAGTCTCTTTTTTTCTAGCTTACCCAAGAAAATGTGACCCCAGCTCACGATAATATTCGTCTCCGTCATCTCCATCTTTGTCTCCAACTTCCCTTCAAAAGTCAACACGACATAAGAATGAGTAAAAACAAGATGAAGAAGAGCCTTCATACTTAGGGATATTAATATACAATTTCACTATATACGAACTAGAATAATCTCATTTTATTTGTGTCTATGGGTTTGTTTCTCATTTTATAAAACCAAGTATGTAGTCTAATAGATGCCAAACCCATTGTAGCAAGTTGTTAAGTTTTGACATGCCATCTTGGGGGAAGGGTGGGTCAGGGATTGAAAACTCATAGCTAGAAATATAAAATAAATATATGTTTACTGAACAGAAAATTAAAGCCGTAGGCACCTAGGCTTAAATGCCTTAGCAAAATCTTTCCCTTGAACTATTGAGAGTCTCCATCTTTTTAACCTCTTTTGGGCTGTTTTAATCATGGTGTTTGAAAAGCCTATTTTTTTATTGTGATATTCGAGGGAGACACAAGAACAAAAATTATGAGCAAGTAGCGAAGCTCTAGAGTTCATGGCCCTTTTGTTCTGATAGACCTATATCTTTGATGGACACAGCTAAAAGAAATAAGTACTTTATGTTATATACAATAATGGAATGTTTGTTTGCTATTAACTTCTTGAAGCTTACAGTTGCAGGANCTTTTGTTCTGATAGACCTATATCTTTGATGGACACAGCTAAAAGAAATAAGTACTTTATGTTACATACAATAATGGAATGTTTGTTTGCTATTAACTTCTTGAAGCTTACAGTTGCAGGAAATGACAAATAAGGCAGCAGCGTATGCTCGATCATGGATGAGGGGAGCACTGGAAGCAGCACAAGGAGGTAAAAAACATTATAGATAAAGATGATAGTTTGAGGATTTGCCTAGACATTTGTTTCTTGTAGCTTTTCTTTTGTCGGTTTGGACCACTGTGATCCTAGCTCAAAGTTCATGGGATGAAATTTAATCCAACGTGTTCTTCTATTAGATTGCTCTCGGTAACAAGAAAAGGTACTAGGAAAAGTAATATTTGTAAGCGTGGTCCAGCAAAAAATTTCACGGCCTCTTGTTTCATAGGTCTTTAGTTTACAAAAGACAAACAAGAAAAAGAACAAAGATTTCAGTTTATTGCCCCATCAAAAAGNACGGCCTCTTGTTTCATAGGTCTTTAGTTTACAAAAGACAAACAAGAAAAAGAACAAAGATTTCAGTTTATTGCCCCATCAAAAAGCAGTTACAATCAAGTTAGCTTTCACATTGAAGACACTTTCATCTATATTTATCTTGCCTAAAAATTATATTAGTTCATGTGCTCCTGTTTGCCAGTTACACACCCACTATTATGACGTTGCCTCTTNAAATTATATTAGTTCATGTGCTCCTGTTTGCCAGTTACACACCCACTATTATGACGTTGCCTCTTCTCTTATTAATGTGACATATATATATGTTGTTGCTGACAAAGAGTTAGCATGCAGATCAGATAAGACGCACAGAACTCTTTAAAGCCGAGGATTTGATGCCCACAACACAGGATCCTGAACGCTTCAGTTTTTGGGTATGCATATTAATACACTTTTAATTTGTTTAGGACCTATTTATGATTTTTCTAAATCTTTTGTGGATATAATGCTTGGATGCAGCTTACTACACTAACAAACCGAATGCCTTCAGAAAGATTGGAAATCCTTCGCATAAGAGATACAAAAGAGGTATCATATCTAATTTTATTGTAAAATGTGGGTGCAAATTACATTGTTGCGCAAAAAATCTGTCAGATCATTGTGTCATTTCTAATGAGACTGACATCTGTTGTTGAATCTCTCCTGATTAATAATCTTGGGAGTTCTGGCTGTTTTCACTGAATAAATGGTTTATTGTAGAATCTCTCTTTGATCTACATTACCAAGATAAATAAGTTGCTTATTGTTGTTTGATCTCAGTGCTAGAATAAGCCATGCATACGAGGGTCCATGATAATAATCGATGCTATAAACCATGCTTCATGACAGTAATCCTAACTATGCCTATAGTCCTAACTTTTCTCAAGAATTCAATAATCTTAGCCCTGGGTCTTGGACTTTGATTCTGCGGTTTACCCTCAAATAGTTATTCACTGAAGTTTCTGTTTAATATTCGTATAGGAAACAAAATTTAACACAAAAAGGAAACTTTTTTTGAAAGGTTATCGAAATCTTCAACAAGATATATTTATCGAACTAATGTCACTATACCTTCTGATCACCTTATTATTAGCCTTCTTGTTACTATTAATTTTCATGGTGTATGAACATGTTCATTTATCAGTTTTACTGCCACCGTTTAACATTTTGAAGCCTATTTATTCATATTTGGATTTTTCTTTGCAGAGGATAAGACGGGGACTCCTTTACATGAAAGCAGAAGAACAAGGTTGTCGATTGCAATGAGTGAAAGTTTGTAAAAGGTTTTATTAAGTCACAATTTGATTGATTACTGTTGGAAGATACTAAAATTATAGGCTATTCAATAATTTTTTGATCCACTCGTAGACTAGAGATTGTGGATTCATCAACCCCTTTCCCACCAAAGGTTAAAAAAAAAAATGNCTATTCAATAATTTTTTGATCCACTCGTAGACTAGAGATTGTGGATTCATCAACCCCTTTCCCACCAAAGGTTAAAAAAAAAAATGTAAAAACAAAGGGTATAGAAATATTCTTTTTTTTTTTTCATTTAAAAACTCTATTGTACATATGGGTCTGACCCAAACTCAATTATAGTAATGAATTTTTTTTTCTCTTATGTTTTACTCCTCTTATTTTAAGTATCTGATCCTCTTCTTAGCAATGAATCCCCCCCCCCCACCTTTTCTCTCTCTCTCGGTTCACCGGTCAGAGATGTTTTGATCAGTTTACGCATATTTTAACTAATTTTCTTTTCGATCCGGTCAAAGATAGGCAATCCATGTTGAGACTAGGATATTCATGAGATAAATTTTGTACGTTTAACTTTAAGGAATTGTTAAAATTTGAACTTATAACGTTTGTGTGTACAGTTTGTTATTGTTATTATTTTAGCTACCCATTGGGGTTACTAAAGAAACTATTGATATCTATATAATAAAGTACAAGACAATTTAAATCTCAAAAGATAAACAAAATAATTTTTATTTTTTGTAGTTGATATTATTTGAAATTTTACTTTAAAATTAATTTGATGGCTAATATTAACTTTTCAAATTTAATAGAGAATATAGACTCTCTAAGATTATGTTTGAGGGAACTTTTCAAAAAAGTTTTTAAAACTTATAACTCTCTCACCACACCTACCATCACTGTCTGTCATCGTTTATCATTGCCGTCACCCACTCCCATCACACCTACCACCCCTACCACCATTCGCTACCACCCATCACCATCTTCACCCACCACAACTCACACACATTACCATCATCTCCACAACTCACCACCACAACCCACCGCCGTCGTCGCCCACCACCACCATTGTCGACCATCATCACCGTTGTCCACCATTACCATCGTTGTCACCAATGATTGTCACTGCCACAATCGTCACCCAAAAATCCACCACAACCATCACGTTCGTTGCCGTCCATCATAACCATCACCGTCTTCCACCACCACTACCATCGCTCACACTTAGGGCTGTTAAACAAGCCAAACTTGAACATTTTTTGAGGCCAGTTCGTTTATGTGTAAATAGTCAAACTATTAGGTTCGAATTCAGCTCAATTAACACCCCTACTCACACCCACTACAATCAGTGCTTAAATTCATTTCTTTCTCCTCTATATTCATGATTTGATTTTGAGTGTGAATACAAATATATTTATGATTGATAATTTTTTTTATTACTTCGTGGCTTCAAGCACGGACAATAATTAGTAGTCTTATGTGTCCTTTAATTTTTAATACTGTACATTCATTTGTTTAGACTAATTAGTCCCAAGGTATTTTTTATAGTTTTGATGCCAATCAATACATTGAATGAATTGATTTTTCATGCTTAATCTCATATGGTTGCATTAAGCTCAAACCCGGAATCGTTCAAAACAAAGTTGCAGAATAATTGAAACTGTCGATCTTGTTTTGAAGATGACCAATTCTTCCTCTCCATTGAAGAAATTGAATTGANGTTTTGATGCCAATCAATACATTGAATGAATTGATTTTTCATGCTTAATCTCATATGGTTGCATTAAGCTCAAACCCGGAATCGTTCAAAACAAAGTTGCAGAATAATTGAAGCTGTCGATCTTGTTTTGAAGATGACCAATTCTTCCTCTCCATTGAAGAAATTGAATTGAAATTATATTACATCCAACTCATTATATCTCGTTATAACTCATTTATTAAACGGATTAATAAATTTTATTACATCTAACCCGTTACTAATCCGTCCAAAATCTGTTCAACCCGTTCAGTTAACACCTCTTTTCTCAATCTCAATCATGATTACTTGGTTCTACAACATGCATAAATAATTAGTCTAATTCCAACCCCATGGCAGCAACATCTTCTTTTAGGTCAATGAATAGATAGGGTGTCCTCACCATCTCCATATCCAGCTGGGTACGCAGTTTGAAATTCTGTTGGTAGTTTTAAAAAAACATAGCCAAGCACTACTGACTTTCGGTACTTTACAAAAGANTGGGTACGCAGTTTGAAATTCTGTTGGTAGTTTTAAAAAAACATAGCCAAGCACTACAGACTAGCACTACTGACTTTCGGTACTTTACAAAAGACAATTGTACAGTTGGTTTATTGGTAGAATAAGAGACGAGACATAAACTTATGCCCTTAAGTTTGAGTCTCTCGGATGATGTGAAACCTACTTGTTTAACCGACCTATGTAGTTTATGAGTAATCGTGTGCGTTCAATATTCGCGTTGCAACCATGAGTCAAAAAAATGTATGATTGCAACAAATTCTTAGTTTTAAAAAAACAATTCAATAGTCTATTAGTCCTTCAAGAACTCTCCCCTACAAGGGTGCATGTCCTCTACTGACATGCTCCCATCATCTCTCTCTCTCTCTCTCTCTCTCTCTCCCCTACAATTATCCTCTTCAGCCCAACAAAAATCACTAGCCAACTTACAAACACTTCCCATTCCTCTTCCTTGGTGGAATTGCTTTTGCAAAACCATAATGTCCACTCCAACTTGACCACCACCACCTTATCACCACCATTGACCATCTCTTTGGTGCAACATAATGAGAGGAGAGAACCATGAGTTTTCTAGACCTAGCCCCATATCCCCACTTCTTTTCATTGCTCTCATGTTCTCCTCCACAAGGCTCTATGTGGCTATAGAAGACAGTTCTTCTCCTTCAGTGCTAAACTATACACCTCCTGATAACTATCTCATCAACTGTGGAGCACCTGAAAACATCCTACTTGATGATGGCCGAACCTTCATGTCTGATCCTCAATCTGCTTCTTTCCCATCCACTGATGAAAACATTCTTTCTTCTATTAGTTCTATACCGAGTAATGTATCTTCTTCTTCTCCACCTTCTTCGTCTCTTCCTTTATATCTTTCTGCAAGGATCTTTCGCGAAGAAGCAACATACAGATTTCCCATCTCCCATCCAGGCAGGCATTGGGTTCGTCTATATTTTTATCCAATTCCACACCCAACATATAATCTAACAAGTGCAGTCTTCACTGTCACCACAGATAGTATNAGATTTCCCATCTCCCATCCAGGCAGGCATTGGGTTCGTCTATATTTTTATCCAATTGCACACCCAACATATAATCTAACAAGTGCAGTCTTCACTGTCACCACAGATAGTATTGTTCTATTGCATGATTTTTCAGTGAAGGATAAAAGTATGGTCTTTAAAGAATACCTCATCAATGTTACCTCAGCCACATTCTCTCTCAAGTTCTTGCCTATGAAAAACTCTTTTGCATTCATAAATGCTGTGGAGCTTGTCTCAGCACCCGACGAGCTTATTTCTGATTCAGCCTCTGCAGTTTTCCCAGCTGGGGATTTCAATGGCTTGTCTAATTATGCTCTTGAAGTGTCTTACCGATTAAATGTTGGAGGGCCACTCATCAGTCCTAGAAATGATACTTTGTGGAGAACATGGCAGCCTGACAGCCAGTTTATGAGGTTCCCGGAAGGGGCTAAAACTGTATCTATTGCTCCCAACTTTATCAAATACCCTGAGGGTGGCGCCACCCCATTCATCGCCCCGATTTTTGTTTATGCCACGGCTGATGAGATGGCAGATTCTGGGGTGGCTGATTCAAATTTCAACCTCACTTGGGAGATGGTTGTTGATCCAGGTTTCTCCTACTTGATCAGAATGCATTTTTGTGACATTGTGAGCACGGGCCTTAATGAGCTATATTTCAATGTATATGTTAATGGGATGATGGGTGTGTCAAGTCTTGACCTCTCAACACTCACTTTAGGCCTTGCGGTCCCCTATTACAAGGACTTTGTGCTCAATGCCTCGGCCATTTCTAATGGTTCGATAATGGTTCAAGTAGGTCCTGATTCTAATGATCAGTCAATCCTACCAAATGCTGTTCTCAATGGCTTGGAGATCATGAAGATGAGCAACTCTGAGGGAAGCTTAGATAGTTTATTCTCTTCGAAAGGGGCATACCATGGGCCAATTTCAGGGCCTCATACGATGAAAATTGCTGCTACCATTGGATTAGTAATTGGCGCAACAGCAATATTGTCACTTGTAATGGGCATTATTCGATGGCAAAGGAAGCCTCAAGATTGGAAGAAGCCAAGAAGAAGCTTCTCTTCATGGCTTCTTCCTTTAAACTCCAGCAATTGCAGTTTCTTGTCCAACAAGAGCAAGAGTAATTACTCAAGGTTTTTTTCCTCTCAACTTGGTCTTGGCCGGTTCTTCACCTTCAACGAATTGAGGGATGCAACAAAGAACTTTGATGAAAATGGAGTGATAGGTGTAGGAGGGTTTGGAAAAGTGTATCTTGGTGAATTGGAAGATGGAACAAAGCTTGCCATAAAACGAGGCAGCCCGAGATCATCTCAAGGCATCAATGAATTCCAGACAGAAATCCAAATGCTTTCCAAGCTAAGGCATCGCCACCTTGTTTCACTAATCGGGTACTGTGATGAACAATCAGAGATGATCCTTGTCTACGAGTACATGGCTAATGGCCCCTTTCGTGACCACCTGTATGGCTCAACCTTGCCGCCTCTACCATGGAGACAACGACTTGAAATTTGCATAGGTGCAGCTCGTGGATTGCACTATCTCCACACTGGTGCAGCACAAGGTATAATACACCGCGATGTTAAAACCACCAACATTCTCCTAGATGACATTTTTGTGGCAAAAGTTTCTGATTTCGGCTTGTCTAAAGCTGCACCATCATTGGATCAAACACATGTAAGCACAGCTGTGAAGGGTAGCTTCGGATATCTCGATCCTGAGTACTTCCGGAGGCAACAACTTACAGAGAAATCAGATGTCTACTCATTTGGGGTAGTCCTTTTTGAGGTTTTGTGTGCAAGGCCTGCTCTAGATCCAACATTGCCAAAAGAGAAGGTCAATTTGGCCGAGTGGGCAATGAAACAGCACAGAAAGGGTTCGCTTGGGAAGATTATCAATCCTCGTCTTGTTGGCAATGTCAGCTCAGAATCATTGATCAAATATGTANAAGAGAAGGTCAATTTGGCCGAGTGGGCAATGAAACAGCACAGAAAGGGTTCGCTTGAGAAGATTATCGATCCTCGTCTTGTTGGCAATGTCAGCTCAGATTCATTGATCAAATATGTGNTTGGCCGAGTGGGCAATGAAACAGCACAGAAAGGGTTCGCTTGGGAAGATTATCAATCCTCGTCTTGTTGGCAATGTCAGCTCAGAATCATTGATCAAATATGTAGAAGCTGCAGAGAAATGTTTGGCAGACTTTGGAGTTGATAGGCCATCTATGGGAGATGTGTTGTGGAACTTAGAGTTTGCTTTGCAGCTTCAAGAGGCATCCTCACAACTTTATCCTTCTCAAGATCACAATACAAAGCTTGCTGTGGAACAACCAAGTGAAGAAGATACCAAAGAAGATCCAATCATTTCAATTGGTGATGATTCTGGGGTGGTGGTTGGTTCTCCCTTATTTTCTCAGATTGAACATTTTCAAGGAAGGTAAAGTCTAGTCATGTAGACTCGTGCACTGGACCGCCTTCAGATTGACCTTCATACATATCTGAGTTTGTCTTTTCAAGTTTGGAACGGGTTTTGCTCCAAGTTCTCTCCCTTAGAGATGATCCCGAAAACACCCAAAAAAAAAAGGGATCAATTGAAGCTAGAGTGGTTTGAAATACTGTAATGTATTGATTTGTTTGTAGATGTTGGTTTGCAAAACTCATCCTTTTCTTTTCCTTTTTGTTTGTTTTATCCCCTTCAAATCATAGCCAGCTTACAGACCAAAAAAACGATATAATGNTCATCCTTTTCTTTTCCTTTTTGTTTGTTTTATCCCCTTCAAATCAAAGCCAGCTTACAGACCAAAAAAACTATATTTAAGCTCCTGCTGTGACCTGCAATCTCAGTGCAGATTCTTCCATATTTATCAGCTTATTTCCACCTATAACTTCTTTCTACATCTTTCCTACCAATCTTGATTTTTTTTCTGGGTTGTGTATGTGGGTGTGGGTGTGGGTGTGGGTGTGGGTGGGGGTGGGGGGAAAGGCTTGGAACTCGCAACCAACCACGAGCAAGTTTAAACCCTTACCACTGGGTCACTCCCTCACCTCAGCCAATTGGAGCGCTTAAACTTGCTATCTTATTGATTATATATCGGTTAAAAAGCCCCAAAGGTCAAAAAGAAAAAGAGAAGTAGTAAGCAGTTTAAAGCTTAGAAGTTTCATATTCTGTAAACAGGTGGAAAATGATGTTTTTTTTTAATGTAGCAGACTATGGTGTTTTTTTTTACCCCAAAACTACCTCAACTAATTATCATTTTAGCAAGCACTGTGGGGCATTATTATCCTTTACACATTAATAAGCATCTTTCTAACATTGACCCCAAAAACAATCTCTGCTTATTGATAACTTAATAGTTATACTAACCAGCTTTATCACTAAGCAGATTATATGCTTCTCAAAAGCTTCTGTTCATTCATTGGGATTTTTCATCCCCATTTTCTCACCAATTTGGAGTAACACACTGTCATGCAATTCACAGGGTTCAATAAGTAATCGATATTTTAACTCACAGATAAGAGGAGGATTCAAAGATTTAGCGAGGCATCACAGTTTCTGAGCCTCAAACCATCTTCTCTTGTCGGGCTTTTAAGGTTAAGGAAAATGCTTCGCGAACAGAATTTTTGTTAAGGATTACCACAAAAGTAATATGGTAGATCCCTTACTGCATTCCTTCCTAACGTCAGGAATGGCGGGATGAAACTCGTTCCTTGTTAGAGTGGGTGTCCCATCTAAATGGGTCACTTCACTCACTTAAAGAGATAGTTAACAAAATAAGAGTAAATATATAACAAGATAGATTGATTGGGGTATTCGATCACTACCTCTCTAGCGCTACCCCACGCTTTGTATGACATTACTCTTAAACTAACTTCTCCAGTAATTGCTCTTAAAGTTGGTTCACCTCCTCTTCACTAAACTTTCATCAGACTCTTCCTCTCACAAAGACTTCTAGCAGAGACATTACAGCTTCAAAAGTACAGTGCAGAATTGTCTTAACTCCTAAAAGATACTAAAAGATACTGCCATATTGTGGTTGAGCTGATATGAAGATCTTGATAAAGTTCAAAGTTCTCTTCAATAAAACCGGGGAAAAGGAAGGGGAGGAGGAATTTCCGGAAAAAAAAAAACGCTAAGGAGAGGAAAAAGTGGTAGTAAATTATTCAACAAGAAGAGTGAAGAAAAATCATAAATATATACATCAAAAGTTCCCATTTACATACAAGGTTAATGTTTTTGGATCAGTTTTCCACCTCAAGTACAAGGGACCTCAAGCTGCATAATAAGAACAGCACAAAAATCCAGGAAGAGGAGCTGTGGGCCGCTAACTCTTTGCAGATCAAGCAGATACTTATCCTCAAGGGATTTGTAAAGCTGTTATGATTCAATAGAACAGTGTCAGCAACTAAGAGATGGCATCACAATATCACAGGCAATACATAATAATTCTCTAGAATTTATGTTTCTGCTACAAGGAATGCAGATAATTGCTTCCACATGATTTTACGAAAAGAAGGAGAAGGATGTATATTTGAATTTAGAATATCTGCTGAAATAGAGTTTTTTCATACAAATATANTGGGGGGAAAGGCTTGGAACTCGCAACCAACCACGAGCAAGTTTAAACCCTTACCACTGGGTCACTCCCTCACCTCAGCCAATTGGAGCGCTTAAACTTGATATCTTATTGATTATATATATGGGCGGTTAAAAAGCCCCAATGGTCAAAAAGAAAAAGAAAAAGAAAAAGAGAAGTAGTAAGCAGTTTAAAGCTTAGAAGTTTCATATTCTGTAAACAGGTGGAAAATGATGTTTTTTTTTAATGTAGCAGACTATGGTGTTTTTTTTTACCCCAAAACTACCTCAACTAATTATCATTTTAGCAAGCACTGTGGGGCATTATTATCCTTTACACATTAATAAGCATCTTTCTAACATTGACCCCNTCATATTCTGTAAACAGGTGGAAAATGATGTTTTTTTTTAATGTAGCAGACTATGGTATTTTTTTTTACCCCAAAACTACCTCAACTAATTATCATTTTAGCAAGCAGTGTGGGGCATTATTATCCTTTACACATTAATAAGCATCTTTCTAACATTTTACCAANAAGCACTGTGGGGCATTATTATCCTTTACACATTAATAAGCATCTTTCTAACATTGACCCCAAAAACAATCTCTGCTTATTGATAACTTAATAGTTATACTAACCAGCTTTATCACTAAGCAGATTATATGCTTCTCAAAAGCTTCTGTTCATTCATTGGGATTTTTCATCCCCATTTTCTCACCAATTTGGAGTAACACACTGTCATGCAATTCACAGGGTTCAATAAGTAATCGATATTTTAACTCACAGATAAGAGGAGGATTCAAAGATTTAGCGAGGCATCACAGTTTCTGAGCCTCAAACCATCTTCTCTTGTCGGGCTTTTAAGGTTAAGGAAAATGCTTCGCGAACAGAATTTTTGTTAAGGATTACCACAAAAGTAATATGGTAGATCCCTTACTCCATTCCTTCCTAACGTCAGGAATGACGGGATGAAACTCGNAAGCATCTTTCTAACATTGACCCCAAAAACAATCTCTGCTTATTGATAACTTAATAGTTATACTAACCAGCTTTATCACTAAGCAGATTATATGCTTCTCAAAAGCTTCTGTTCATTCATTGGGATTTTTCATCCCCATTTTCTCACCAATTTGGAGTAACACACTGTCATGCAATTCACAGGGTTCAATAAGTAATCGATATTTTAACTCACAGATAAGAGGAGGATTCAAAGATTTAGCGAGGCATCACAGTTTCTGAGCCTCAAACCATCTTCTCTTGTCGGGCTTTTAAGGTTAAGGAAAATGCTTCGCGAACAGAATTTTTGTTAAGGATTACCACAAAAGTAATATGGTAGATCCCTTACTGCATTCCTTCCTAACGTCAGGAATGGCGGGATGAAACTCATTCCTTGTTAGAGTGGGTGTCCCATCTAAATGGGTCACTTCACTCACTTAAAGAGATAGTTAACAAAATAAGAGTAAATATATAACAAGATAGATTGATTGGGGTATTCGATCACTACCTCTCTAGCGCTACCCCACGCTTTGTATGACATTACTCTTAAACTAACTTCTCCAGTAATTGCTCTTAAAGTTGGTTCACCTCCTCTTCATTAAACTTTCATCAGACTCTTCCTCTCACAAAGACTTTAGCAGAGACATTACAGCTTCAAAAGTACAGTGCAGAATTGTCTTAACTCCTAAAAGATACTGCCATATTGTGGTTGAGCTGATATGAAGATCTTGATAAAGTTCAAAGTTCTCTTCAATAAAACCGGGGAAAAGGAAGGGGAGGAGGAATTTCCGGAAAAAAAAAAACGCAAAGGAGAGGAAAAAGTGGTAGTAAATTATTCAACAAGAAGAGTGAAGAAAAATCATAAATATATAGATCAAAAGTTCCCATTTACATACAAGGTTAATGTTTTTGGATCAGTTTTCCACCTCAAGTACAAGGGACCTCAAGCTGCATAATAAGAACAGCACAAAAATCCAGGAAGAGGAGCTGTGGGCCGCTAACTCTTTGCAGATCAAGCAGATACTTATCCTCAAGGGATTTGTAAAGCTGTTATGATTCAATAGAACAGTGTCAGCAACTAAGAGATGGCATCACAATATCACAGGCAATACATAATAATTCTCTAGAATTTATGTTTCTGCTACAAGGAATGCAGATAATTGCTTCCACATGATTTTACGAAAAGAAGGAGAAGGATGTATATTTGAATTTAGAATATCTGCTGAAATAGAGTTTTTTCATACAAATATACAGCATATACAACTTATACTCTCCATTGCAATTATTCGCATGCAATGGTGAACTAGCAAACTTTGTCTCAGCATGGCGAAAAAGCATCTGGACAGATGGACAAAAGGGCAAATGGAAAAAAAAAAAAAGGAAGAAACAACCATGGCAATCAAACTTAAAAGAAAAGGTGAAACACATACTCCATATCATTAGGGGCCTTCAAAAAACAAAGAAAAGAGAGAAAAAAAATGATGTTTCCGGTTATTGATGTGAAGTATAAGTTGGGAGAAATTTTAAATTTTAATTTGGGGAGGGAGATGGGGCGTGTTTGGAGTGGGGCATTCCTTATCAGGTCTCATTCGTGCCAAACTAGCCCTAGCCTATTTAGGCTCTTCCCAAACTCACCTCCTAGGAGTCATAGCAAGGCCAATTACCTAGTTTTCTCAATATATTTCCACTCCTAGCAACATATTGTTGGACTGTGACAACATTTGGAAGGGGCATCCTTATGAGTAAAGCAAATCTAGGAAGTAGTTCATCACCATACATGCAACATGATCACAGTGCTGATAGGAACCCACAATTTGGGGACTTCAATGCCCAGGCACAATATGATCCCTTCCAATCGTTTCCAACAAATACTCAAGAATACACAGAAAAAACTAAGATACCTGCATTTCAAACTTCACAATACTTTGAGGCTGAAAATCATTGGCAACTGTGGCAGTCTCATGACCAATGTAGTGGTCATCATGCACATGATTGCTGGCCATGGGTTCAGGCTGATAAAAGCCATGAGGCCACCGACACTTCATGTTGTAGTGCCCAATCTTTTTCCAGCATACTTTCAGTTTTTGCAGAACTCTGAGGAGCTGAATCATTATCTCGCGAGGTTGGTCTGAAGACTGTCAAAAGTGACAAATGAGAAATTGGAGACATTTGAAACAAAGGCCTTATAACTGGATTGAAACAAGTACTAACTTAGTTGTTTCTTACTAATCAGATCACCTAATTGAAACAGCCAGATTTTATGGTCAATTAACAANGAAAAAAAAAAAAAGGAAGAAACAACCATGGCAATCAAACTTAAAAGAAAAGGTGAAACACATACTCCATATCATTAGGGGCCTTCAAAAAACAAAGAAAAGAGAGAAAAAAAATGATGTTTCCGGTTATTGATGTGAAGTATAAGTCGGGAGAAATTTTAAATTTTAATTTGGGGAGGGAGATGGGGCGTGTTTGGAGTGGGGCATTCCTTATCAGGTCTCATTCGTGCCAAACTAGCCCTAGCCTATTTAGGCTGTTCCCAAACTCACCTCCTAGGAGTCATAGCAAGGCCAATTGCCTAGTTTTCTCAATATATTTCCACTCCTAGCAACATATTGTTGGACTGTGACAACATTTGGAAGGGGCATCCTTATGAGTAAAGCAAATCTAGGAAGTAGTTCATCACCATACATGCAACATGATCACAGTGCTGATAGGAACCCACAATTTGGGGACTTCAATGCCCAGGCACAATATGATCCCTTCCAATCGTTTCCAACAAATACTCAAGAATACACAGAAAAAACTAAGATACCTGCATTTCAAACTTCACAATACTTTGAGGCTGAAAATCATTGGCAACTGTGGCAGTCTCATGACCAATGTAGTGGTCATCATGCACATGATTGCTGGCCATGGGTTCAGGCTGATAAAAGCCATGAGGCCACCGACACTTCATGTTGTAGTGCCCAATCTTTTTCCAGCATACTTTCAGTTTTTGCAGAACTCTGAGGAGCTGAATCATTATCTCGCGAGGTTGGTCTGAAGACTGTCAAAAGTGACAAATGAGAAATTGGAGACATTTGAAACAAAGGCCTTATAACTGGATTGAAACAAGTACTAACTTAGTTGTTTCTTACTAATCAGATCACCTAATTGAAACAGCCAGATTTTATGGTCAATTAACAATCTGTTTGCTGTAGGAAATGCATGTAGACATATGATATACATGCACATAGTCCAGAAAAAAAATGAGATTCTATAGTCCAGAATGCTGTAGACGATATGCCATCGAACTAGAATTATATAATTTGAACCTGCAATCCAAGAAGCCACTTTCTCTCAACGGGCAACTGAGGCCTTATCACAGTCTCCTGAGGAAAGCCGTGCCCAAAAGCCATATGGAAAGCATCATCTGGCTTCATACCAGTGAAACCACCCTCCTGCAAAGGAACACAAAAACAAGTTCCAAAATGAGTCTTCTGAGTCTGAAATGCATAGTTATACACAGTACATGGTTGAACCTACATACAATAGACGTCATCCAGCCAGAGACCATGAGTTCACAGATGCATCCCAATAAAATTTGGCAAATGGAGGAAAGGTGGAAAAAGCAGTATTCATGCANATGCATAGTTATACACAGTACATGGTTGAACCTACATACAATAGACGTCATCCAGCCGGAGACCATGAGTTCACAGATGCATCCCAATAAAAATTTGGCAAATGGAGGAACGGTGGAAAAAGCAGTATTCATGCAATAAGGAAGAGGTAGAACCTTACCGTTGAAAAGGTGAAGCACGTGTAACAAAAGATAAGTTAAATATGTTTTATCTTTAATACACAGTTTATACAGGCTTTCTTATCTTATCTTTGCTGAGTCAACACCATTCCAAATTTGTGGGATGTAGTGGCAAATAGGCCCCGAGTCTTATGCAAGGCCAAGTTGTACTTATCNTTTTATCTTTAATACACAGTTTATACAGGCTTTCTTATCTTATCTTTGCTGAGTCAAAAGGCACCATTCCAAATTTGTGGGATGTAGTAGCAAATAGGCCCCGAGTCTTATGCAAGGCCAAGTTGTACTTATTGATATGTGATTCTTATCGAGTCCAAAATGTACCAGTGTTCAGGTCAAAATTCCCTAGTTAGGAGTTGTAGTCCAAGAAGAAGGAAGAAAAGCTCTATATGCCCTACTGAATATTTATATTAATGAAACTATATTGATAAAAATTTTAAGACTATGCAATTAATATGAACTATGAAACCTACCATATAGGAGTGACACGTAAAGGATTCTTCGGCTGTATAGGCTTGAGGATCCGACATGTACCAAATATTCATGAAATAACTAGGTAATTATTAAATTCTCAAGACGAACTCACCATGGACTCCTGAATCTCAGCTCCCAGATAGCCACTAGAAACAGCAGATCGGTTGTCAAGTAGCAAATAATATGCGACAGTAGCCTGAAACAAACAATAATGAGATATACATCCAAATGTATTATAGGAATAAAATATGCAGACCATATCTGAAAAGTAAATGGGATACATCGTCTTGTGTTCTATTTTGAAGAGATTTAAGCAATTCGTCTCTGTCAAATCCCATCCTAAGAACTTGTTGTAGACTTTCCTCATCAATCTGCAGGATAGTAAGCATCTCAGTTCCCTAATAATGAAATCAAATGACAATAAAGCAGGAGATAAGAAATGTGAGTTAAAAAAAATTGAAACCAGAAAGACCAAATTCACAAAATAGATTAACCAAAATCAAAGAAATTAAAGAAACCGAAAGTACTGAACTATTTTAAGGATATTCATTCTATCACCACCAATTAATAGGGTCTTTGAACACAACCTCGCCAAGGTATCGAGAAATGAAGCAACAACCCTAGTTATTAACAGTTTGCAATTGGAGAAATAAATTCACCAGAAGACACATCCATGCCATTTGGTTTCTGAAACTCACTAGTGAAGCAGGGCCAGGCCGGCCCCAGTCCTTGGACCATTGCCTCAACCCTGGCCCAATCCAAGTTTATTTTTGTTTTTAAAATATTAATACAGGTTCTTTTAGTATTTTTATTTTTAAATACAAAAGTAAAGTATATATTAATACATATTTAGCAGTTTTTAAAATTAAAATAAGAAAACGTATTACGCAAACATGAAAAAATATAGTTTCATGCTTTCAAAATAATATTCAAGGCACGAGAAGCCATGGATTTTGGCTCAGGCCTTGCCCCAAAACAGTGATGGATCGATTTCCAGACCAATAAATCAGCCCAAGCCCTTATTTCCAGTCTGGGCAGCCCGTGCTATATGTTACCCTAGTCATAATGATTCATTTGTTTCTATCATCAACACATTTCTCACATAATACCACAGATTATTATCCCCATTAGAAAAAGAAAGAATAAACGAAGAGTAAATATTACACTCTATCGCTTTCTTCGAGCTATTGCTTGCAGTAATTCAAATTCATCTGAGTGGAAAGACATAATTATGTTTCATTGCTTACAACCTATTTCACAGAATTTATAATACAGTTAGAATCAGAAAGATACCAGTTTATGTATTACTGCTTGATTTGACTCCACTATGGCACGATCGGTGAGTTTTAAAAAAAAAATATTAACCACCCACTTTTCACTTTAGCTACACAAACATTGCAAAAATAAAGAAAAATTTATTAGCAAACCACTGCAGTCTGACATGCCTTTTTTAGGTGCTCCATTGCATCTGGTGGAGGAACAGCTAAATAGCGAGGAAGATGAACTTTGAACCAATGGTGCTGACGAATCTCAGGAATAGTTATACGCTTCATAGGGTCAACCACAAGCATCCTTGGGATCAAAGCCCTTGCTCCAGGTGACAACTGACTAGGAAGAGTATAGATTCCACCCTGAACAGCAGAATGCCAGCTAAATGGATGAGCATCGACCGAATTGAGACTTGCATTTTGGTCAAAAAAGAAGGATGCAAATTCTAACTAAATGAATGAGCACAAGGACTCCTAAATCCTAATAATCCATGACCGAGTAGTATATACTATCCTTGTCACCCAAACTTCAAATTTAGCTTATCTGATATATGTGTGCTCCAAATAGGTCATGAATATACCTTTATTTTCTTGAAGAGGTTGGGGATGTTGACATCATCAAAAGGAAGTGTACCACAGAGCATGGCGTACAAGATAACACCACAACTCCAGACATCTACCTCAGGCCCAGCATATAGTTTACCAGAAACAACCTACAAGATACTTCATGACATGTAACTTCCGAATTTCAACCAATAGCTTACCATAGCAATGTAAAAAATCATTGTTATCAAAAAAAAAAAACTACTCGTAGATGAAAGATGGCATCCTATAAAACCTCTGGAGCAGCATAATTTGGGCTTCCACAACTTGTCTTCAGGAAATGGCCATCTCGCATGATATTGCTCAAGCCAAAATCAGCTAGCTTCACATTGCCTCTAGAATCTAAAAGCAGGTTCTCGGGTTTAAGGTCTCGATGAACCACCATGTTCCTGTGGCAGTATTCCACGCCCGAAATAATCTGTTTCCAGTGAAACAAACCTAATGAATATCACTTCAATGACCATAAAGCCACAAACATCAACAATATTCACTCCTTTCTGATACTATATATCCATTATGGCGAAAATCCAAATCACAAGAACTAACAACCAAACAAACAATATTGAATTTTACCTGCTGGAAAAGTTTTCGAGCTTCATCCTCATGAACCCTACCCTTTTCTACGATGTAATCAAATAGCTCTCCAGACTTCACATATTCCATAACAACATATATATCCACTGGTGTCTCAATAACCTCATAAAGGCGTATGATATGTGGATGCACGAATAATCTGCATATTTTTATCTCTCTTCTCACTGTACAATAGTAATTACATTTAAAAATTGTGAAATGCTCATTTCCAATGCTCCAACGAGTACAAGAATCAAATCAAATAGCACTAACAGAGGAAAAGGAATAGTTCAGAGGAAATCAACATCAGCTAAGTCATTGCCCAAAAATGATGATAGATATAAACCAATCAACTTCCATTAGAATGTGAAGTAATGCCATCTAAACATACAGTCATACCTTTTTCTTCCATATCAGGGCTTTTCATCTTGCGGCGATTCAGGATTTTGATAGCCACTTTGTGTCCTGTCAGGACATGCTCAGCAATTTTGACCTTACCGAATGCGCCATGGCCAAGAGTTTTTCCAAGCCTGTAGTTCTGTAGAATTGTATCCACACTGCTGCCTCCTCTTCCAGTTGCTCCTTCCATATTTCTGTTATAAAAGCATGGGCCAATTACATTCACAACAAGATCATGCATAAAAAAGAGCAAAACAAAGGCACCACAATTATGAACGGTGTTAAGGCTTAGGAGTTTCAGTTTGGTTGCACATATACCAGAACAGAAATCTCCTCTAAACTGTGGCTTCAGCTTCCACCAGTTCAGGTGCCACATGTATGCCTAGAGGCCCTGCCACTTTGGGTACCTTTCCCAGAGGCATCAATAGAAATATAATCTTTAATTAAAGGTATTGTGAGATATGCATTTTAGGTACTTCCACATTCTGAAATATACATAATAGTTGATTTGATTCCAAGAAATCTTAAATGAAATGCAGGAATGATAATTTTCAGTTCTTGAAATAGGGGGAAATTTTTTTCCTGTTTCAGCTACACAGAGATTTATTATTGAATGATTTTAGAGTTTTAGATTTAATTCCTTGTTTGAGTAAGAAACACCGATGAAAGCTATACAATTAATCTGAAAAAAGCAGATAACTTTAAATCTCAGTAACAGGAATGAGGAATTGTGCAACTTTTCAGGGATTTCACAAAGCAAATGGTCATGCTTCTAAAGATTTTGTAGAAGGAAAAATAATCAACAAGTTCTACTTTTTGTCACAAAAAACCACCGAGTCCTATCCAACTTCTGTTAGGACAATTAAGTCCTATCTTGGATGATGATATGATCCAAATTAGGTCAAAACTCTTCCCATTTCAAAAAATTTCTCACCGAGACATCAATAATTTGGTTCATACTTCTGGAATTCATCTTAATATCTTTAAGGGTAATCAAATGTGTATGAAAATATATAATATGTGGGAGATTATCTAAATAAACTCTTTTAGTTAAAATTATGAAGCAATGTTTATTTTTCCAGAAATCCATTTATTATTGTTAAGCATCATATCAATGAAATAAAGCATAATTAAAATAATTTGTCTAGCTTTTAAATGAAGTTTTTTTTTGGACACCAAGTCATATTAGTAACTATATGGAAAGATTTATTGATTTATATTAGAGTTCCATGATTTGTCATATAATGGCCTTTTTGGCAATTAAAGACTAATGGGTAAAAGATGAATGATAATAAAGTAAAGACTTTTTGCAATCATGTTTGAAAAGTAGACTTACTGCCATGTTGAACGGGATCAAGGAAATGAAACTCATAAACATATTATACATCAAGAAGTACTTTCCCCAAAAGAAAACACAAATATTAGCTATAGTTTTCTGGGGATTTTTTTGTTTTTGTTTTTGGGAGGAGTATAATTAACACTTGTACCCTATGTTTTTTCATAAGAAAGATACATACTTAACTTTCCAAGGAAAAAAGGTATATAGTTTTTTAAAAAAAATTTAAGCTCGTAGAACCACGTATGATGCATTCAAACACCTTTTCTGCATTTATTTCTTTGGATATCAATTTTTACAACTGATGCAGAAAACTATCTGGGTTCTATGTTGTCTAATTTTCACTAAATTCTAGGGCTGTACCAAGACTTATTTTTGAGGAGCCGACTCCTGATTTTTCAAGGTTAAAATGCTCCAGCCTGCATGCAACTTCTAACCCGAGCAGCACGAGTGAAAACACCCCACACATGCAAGTACATCATAATAGCATAACCCAATAAGCATAAGATGCAACACAAAGAATGCAATACCAAAACCGGAAATCAGATTATCATAGAGCAACAATAAATGGATCTACCGTCAACATGCAATCCCAAGTTCATAAAAATCTTGTCAAGTAATGTTTTTGTAAAGCTGGAAGGAAGTGGCATAGCTTAATAGCTCAGTAATTCAATCAAATTTCTGATCTTCAATCAAATTTCTGATCTTAGGAACAGATTAATGTGATGTTAGTCATGTTACCAGTACTGACCATGGGTAACCGTTGTTGAGACAAATCATCTATTGTTAAATCCAACTGCAACCATATTTCTAATGCACATAAATTTTCAGCGTCCCATTAGTTCTGCAACTTGAATAACTTCACTGTAAATTCCAACAAATTTTAATTTAGACAGTTGATATCAAGCTGTCACTGATTGTAATAAAACAACTAATTTAGACGAACATTTATATATACCCATGACCTATAATTCAATAATAGGTTAATACACAAACACACTGACAGATGATCAATTAAAACCACTTAAGAGCTGAGAGCTGGTCAATGACTAGAGAACAAGTGCAATCCAAAGAAATTAAAAACGAAAATTTCAATCTAAATCGAAGAAAACCAAGTGGAATTACATTGAAGCAGAGGATGTATCTATCCGCGGCGAACAGCAAGTACTTCCCACAAAGCGAGTTCAGAGAGAGAGAGAGAGAGAGAGCGCGCGTTTCAGAGAGGTCTTGAGAGAGAGGCTTTTAGAAGTAAAACATGGAAATTAACGATTCTGAAAAGGAAGGTGAATGGAGCTTCCAAAATTTTTATTCACACTCTGACTCACCAATTCGAATCGGATATATACAAGAATATAGGGAGAGATGTCTTGATTGGGGCGGCTAAGCCGACACCTGAAATTGGAATATTAAATGGATGTGTTTTTATTTTTAGTATTATTTTAAAAAAAAAATTATTTTTAGTTTTTTATGTGAAATAGAGATAAAGAAAAAATGTGCTAATATTATTGAAAAAAATATTTTTATTATTATTTTTATTTTTTATCACATAAAGGGAGAGAGAGTGTTTAATTTTTATTTTAATTTTTGTTTATATTTATTTTTACCAGAGAGAGATATAAAGTGGGTGAGAGTAAATAAGTTGACTTTTGAATTTTTTTTTTATTTTTTAATTTTTAAGTTTTTAATGTTATTGATTGGATTATATGGCACAATTATTGTAATAAAAATTTTGATTTGATTTAATTTTTTAGGATTTTTTTGTAGAGTTTAAAACTTAATACATATAATTTTTTTATGGATTAATGATGTGTCTAAAATTATAGTGCCTTCTAAAAATTTGAGACCTAAAGACCATGCTTTTTTTCTATACTGTTGGACCGGCCATGCTAAAGATTAAATTCATCAATTTAAATTAGTTTTTCTTTCATTTACTTTAATTAAAGAAATTAAAATCAATCTAAACCTCAGTATTTTTTCAAAAACAAACCAATAAAATTTTCTCTAAAAATAAGAATTTCCAAAAAAAATCCAACCACACTCCACAATATTACAATCGATCACACAAATAAAACATTTTTACTTACAGCCATGGCATGACGATTGACTTCACAACCCACAACTCATCTCTTTCTGTTCAACAAGATGATTACAATTCGATTCCTTTAAAATGGCCATAACCCATATCACATAGAATGCAATATTTCCCTCAAAAACTAAAATCTTGATCAAAAAATAATATTAAAGAAAGTCAAAAAAAAAAAAAAAAAACCCAGCATGTTCTTTTCTTTCATTTCTTCTTAATTGTGTTTTTTTCTAATATGTGTGTGTGAGTGAAGAAGAAAACAGAAACCAAGATTAATTAAATGGAAAAACTTATAGGCCTGGCCAAATCGAACCAAACTCTATGCCATGGATAGGATAAATGGTTGAATAGAAACCTTAAATCTATGTTTTTGAGGCATTTGGTCAAAACATCTTTGGGACAAGAAATTGTACTGAAGAGGACAAGTTGTTTGCTTGGCATCAAAACATAAAGAGAGTCTATGCAATGAAGATATCTGATCACTTATGAGTGCTTCTTAGGTGCACCTCCTACATAGTTTACATGTTGATCTCCTTTGATGAAATAAAAAATTCAATTAACTTAGCATAGAAGGACTAAGATACTCAACTACATGAGTGCATAAAATGTATGGGTAACAATGAACGCTATACTCTTGCAAACCCCAATTCCCAAATTGACGTAAACAATGGATGAACAAACCCATCAAGTGCAACGCCGATTTCCAATCAAAGAAAAGGACCGTAGATCCTCTCAACTAAGAAATAATAATTAGACATCTTGAAAAGCATGAATTATAATAACAGTAACGACTATTTAAATTCCTGAGTTTGGATATTAGGTGTTTTAATGGCATGGTGAGTCATCAAATTCAACCATTCCGCACGTCTATCCAAGCAAAATAAAATCAAAATCTATCAATTTTAAGAAATTATTGCAACTTATGATCATACCTCACTTCGGCTTTCTCATTGGATTTTTAGAGTTGTCGGTCACTATTGGATGTTGTGTTTTATTCGCTGAAACAACATACAAAACCTAAATATAAGATTTACGAAAAGTAAAAACAGATCTGATGCACATGAAACATGCGTGTGTATTCATACACACAAAAAATGAGAGAAATTAAAAAGAATTAGACCACCTACAAGATTAAAATCTTAATCAATTAAAAATTGTCTACCCAAAAATACAATACCACCAAACACACCACCACATTGTTACACCTAACAACACAATTGAATTGGGCTATGACCGGCTATCCCACATCGGATAGCTCTAGGGGTGTGTGTGTATATGTGCTTATATAAAGACTATAGAACTTACACTTTTAAGTGTAGGTTCTGTAGTTCTCGTTGATCAAAAAAATAACACAATTGAAACACAACAAACGGAAGACTAACCCATAAGAGCAAGAATCCCAAAAAAACCCACATTCAAAAACATGTTATGATCACAGCCCATAAACAAAACACAAGTAAAGATCAAAGCCAATGAATTTCACATATAAGAATGAGCACCATGTGCATGTAGGCACTTCCCTTCGACCTACCATTTTGGCTTGTCTTTCAATATTGAGGGGCTATTCTCACCCCATAAATCTTTATTTTCACCTCATTTAATTTTTCATTATCAAACTATTAAGTTCATCCCTTCTATACTCACTTCATTAGTAACTAAGTTTACCACATGCTACATACACCCTTTTTAATAAGTAAACTCACTTTATTTTTGTAATAATTAAGGTTTCATTCTCTATCTCATCTCATACAACACACAAAAATATTTTTTTAATATAAATTTTTTGAATGAGATACAGGGTAGTATTACTTCTCAATTTAATTCTATGTTTGATTTCATGTGTTGTTATATGGATTTTTATTATTTTCGGTATATTTTGATATCTCTGTCAAGTTTAATAATTTTTTATTTAAAATTTATGTGTGTGTATGTATACTTTAATAATTTTTTATTTAAAATTTATGTGTGTGTATGTATACTTTCAGATTATTTGTTTCGTTCCTTTTTTTTTTTTTACAATGATTTCTTTCATTAAAAAGGTGTATATAAAATGAGTGAGTTTAACTATTAATGGAGTGTACGTAATATGGGGTAAACTTAGTTACTAATGGGGTGGGTCTAGAAGGAATGATTTAGTAGTTAGATAATAATAAATTAAATGAGGTAAAAATGGAGATCTGTGGGGTGAGAATAGCCCCACCCTTCAATTACTATAGAAACGATATGGGAATTCCAACTTTGATTTTTTTCTCTTTTCATAATTTGGAAAACCTACGTAAGAGAATATTATTAAGAGCATTTTTAACCATGACTCAAATTTTTACTCAAATTTAAATTAATATTTGAGTAAAAAGTTTGATTTGATATAAAAGACTTTAATAGACAAACTCAAATTTAAAGATGGAGGGACCCAAATTTAAATGAGAGCAAATCCAAATTTAAAAGGTAATAAGGATGACCATTAGATTTTTAAAAGATAGTGAAATCTCACCATTAAAGATTTGAGTCTCTCTTGATTTAAATAAAAAATTGAGATTCTCTGGATTTGATATAAGTTTGAATCAAGGGTTGGAGCAAGTTTTTTAGACTTTTTTACTTAAATTTTAAATTTGAGTAAGTGTTGGAGATGCCCTAATAAAAGTACCTTAACATGAAAAAATTTTGATTCATTATTTTACCCTTATAAAAAATTACAAAGACTAACATGTCCTTTTTAATATACAAATTATCATTATATCCCTATGTATTTAAATAACAAACAAATATCTAACAAATCACTCTATCATTGCAAAATTGTTGAATGGTCATGTTATGCTTAATATGATATATAAAAAAATGTTATTCTTTTTTTTAAAAACTCTAATATTAATACACATCTATAACTCCATTGATATAATATCATCTCTATGAGTGAGTTTAACTATTAATGTTGTGTATGTAGTATGAGATAGACTTAGTTACTAATGAAGTGGGCCTAGAAGGGGTGATTTAGTAGTTTAATAATGAGAAATTAAATAGGTGAGAATGAAGATTTGTGGGGTGGGAATAGCCCCACCCTTCAATATTACTATAGAAACGATATGGGTATTTTAACTTTGATTTTTTTCTCTTTTCATAATTTGGAAAACCTAAATAAGATAATATTACTAATAAAAGTACCTTAGCGTGAAAAAATGTTGATTCATTATTTTGCCCTTATAAAAAATTATAAAGACTAACATATTCTTTTGTATTTAAATATTTAAATTACTATTATATCCCTATGTATTTAAAAAACAAACTAATATCTAACTTTGAAAAACTTTTGAATGGTCATGTTATACTTAATATGATATATAAAAAAAATTGATATTCTTTTTTTCAATACTCCAATATTAATACACATCTATAACTCAATTGATACAATATCATCTCCAATGCCCAAAAATGATATATATATATATATATATATATAAAGATTTGTTAAATGATGATATGGAGATAAACCTCCAACATGACAGCGATAATGTGTTATATAATTTGATTTGCAAAAAATGATCAAATAAAGCTAAAATCTCGGATAAAGCCGACCCAAAAGAAGTAACGCATGCCCTGACGTCATTATGAAGAAGTGACGCACATTCTAACGTCACTACAAAGAAGTGATGCACGTTCTAACGTCACTACAAAAACTGTGAAAAGTGTACAGTATTTATGATATATGCAATGACGTCAATGTAAATTATTAAAGTTGTGAACAGTATAAAGTTGTAAATAGTTTAGGATAGTTTTGAAATCCGAATTTCATGTCCAACTTCTATAAATAGGAGTGCAGGCCCGACTTGTGGAGCACTGCCCCCATACCGCATCTCATACCTACACCGCCCCTACATACCGCATTGCATACCTTCCTTCCTTTCCTCTTGCACCTTTTGTAAACCCTCTTCTCTTGTAAAAACTTCCATTTTCGACCTTCCACCACTACTACTGTAAGTGTGTCTTGTACATAAAATTTTGCATTAAATAAAAGCTTTCGCTAATATTTATTTTGTAGATCGAACGATCATCCCCCTTTCTAGTATTAGAGCCTTGTGTATGGTAGCTTAAGTATATTCTGTTTATTTATATGAAAATCTATTAC